TTGCATCAGCTAGCCGTATAATGGGCACCGGTTCAGCAAACTAAATTTACGGTGGGTCTTCTGCAAAATGGATTTTTTGACTTTGGGGAACAAATGGCCGCAGCCCCTGCGTTGGTAAGTAAAAACAAAAGGACAAGTCGGGATCTAGAACCTCTGTATTGTGGGTTTGTGTCAACCGGCCCTGAATACAGCCTATGGGAACGAGAAAAAACAATCAGTGGGAACCCGCACTCCTAGGTAGCCCCAGATAGCCCTCAACAACGCATCTCTCTCTTTTGTGGGAGGTCGAGCCTATACTCCGAAAAGAAACGCACGTGCAAAAGGCCAAAGAACATGAATAACGGGACTGGCCCAACAAAAGTAGGCTACTTGGTGAACAAAGAAGCGGATGATAACGGAAAGCCACCGACACGGGTGCGACGTAGTGAAGAGGGCCAAACAGATAGTCGGAGTTTGGGATCGACCACGGGACAATTCTGTACGTATGCACGCTCACATTAATGGTCAAGAAACGCTGGCGCTACTCAATACTGGATGTCAAGTAAATATGTTATTCGAGCATATGGCGCACATGTGTAACAAGTCTGCTCACTCGTAAGCGCAGTCTCTAAGAGTCACGACTGCATACAGCCGGTAAAACGCATGATCCAGCAAAGCTTCAGAAGGTGACAGCTATTTTCGATTGAAATCTGGTCATGTTGTCTTGATACATGACTTCTACATAGGACCCGTGCACCATGATGTAATCCTAGATATACCATGGGTGACCCAACAAAAGGCACCCATGCATCCACAGCTGCGCGCTGTGAAGCTTAGTGTGCAGATAAACGTTAGGAGAAGAAGTATTCTTGGTCTTCCCGAAACTGCTCACTTCACGAATGATTAGCAGTGTAGGTTCGCTACCTCCACAAGGTGGGCAGAGACTTCATGCGGGTAGCTTAACACTGTAGTAAGAGAAGACGGTTCTGAGCATGCATTCCACCAGTTAATTCTCCGATGGGTCATTCTTAAAATCTTTTGTTGACATTTTAGCCGAAGAGTAGCAGAAATGGGCGAATATCAAGCGGGGTTTGTAGATATGCAAAAATACAGAGTAGATGCCAGCAGACTGACCACCTGCTGGTCGTTCTGCCGAGCATATTGAGCTAAGTTCTTGGTCAGTTTTAAGCCATCCCTCACAAGTAGCACACGGTTTACAGCATGTAATACAGATTGAGCGGCAGGCGGGTGATTGGGCATAGCGCGTTGGTGGTGCGGGGAAAGGAAGGAAGATGGTGCTTGTGCGTCAGCTTGAAGCACCTAAACATGACCGCTTTGACACAGAGGCTCACGGGACCTCATATTGGAGAATTATTTTGACAAGCCACACCCGTCTGCCAGGCGCAGAACAGTGTTTCACCCGTACCCGCAAAGTCGAGTGTATATGTATGCGTATAAAGGTTTCAAAACCAGAGCTTTTCTGAAACGAAATTGCTCAAGATTTAAATGAGCCTATCAAGGAAAGGTGGATGGTTGAATACTTGGAACGCATCTACGTATCCAGCCGGAATGCTCAGCAGCACCTACAGTACTCACGTTCCCTTCAGCTGTGTTTCTGAGGGCAGGGAGGTATTCGCCTTTAATGACAACAAATGTGTGTTCGAGAGCTCCTTGTTTGGGTTTCAAGAACTGAGCCAGGCCTGGCAAAAACTGAAGCAATCAAGGAGCGGCCTTCATGCACCTGCCAGAACATTGAGAAATCCTATGGGCTTGCGTCGTCTTACTGGAAAATGCATTCGTAGAATCTCTCGGATCGCTGCTCCTCCGACTACTCTACTTTATGAACAGAGGAAGCCAATGCCCCAGCAGGGACGCATTACGGCCGCCTTGCCGCTTTTCCGGTACTTGTGCTGCCCACTTATGAGTCTTATCGGGGCAGCAGACGTAGCTGTGGGTGCAGCTATAAGCTTTCATAAGCACGAAATCACTGCCCCCTATTCTCGTTGATTCATCAAAGCTGAACAGCGGTATCCAGTACGGCAACGGAAACTTTGTAAGGTATGGTGAGGCTTAATCCGGTGCACTTAGATGGGTGCCACTCTACTGCGTAAATCATCCAGCAGTCGACAATGCATCAAATGAATAACTTAAAGACCTGCTAATTCTGGGGCTGTTCAGTGACTTGGGGGCCTCCTGCCGTACTTTACTGTAAAGTACGTTGGGGGCTTCGCCGACGTGCTCTCCAGATGCCCCAGCGATTCACTAACGTTCATCGCAGCCGCTCCTGTCTGTGATAATTCACAATATTATTAACATTGATTAAGCTTTTTGTGCACTTTAGAAGTATGCATCTGCTACTGTTGCCCAAATATAGGAAGGTAGAAGCTCCAGGCATTACCAAGTTGTAAATGGCTTGCTGTGGGTTAAACGAAAGCGAGTATCCGTCGCATCTAACTTCTGACTTTGCTTTGCAGTATTATTCTGCGCATAGCATACGGTAATGCTCTTAGGAGCCACGGGCGGCGGTTAAAGTACAGCGGGGAAGCTTTGACGGTCTTCTTGGTGGCTTGGGATGCGTTCCGCCGCAGAGGGGTATGCACAATCATGTCCACGACGCCACCAGCTACAGCACCTCAATTTTACTAGACCTGGGCTTTGCAAAGCCTTCTGGCTCCTAAATTGAATTAGCCTTTCCTGACCATGAACCGTATTGTTGGGTTGTCGAAGTCTGAGGGTCAGGACAGCGCCCAAGTTTCTGTTGACGCACTCATCAAGGAGCACATTTCTTCCTTTACTCCTGCTGTCACGACTCAGAAGGCCAATGACTCACTCTTATGCTGATGTGAAAATGCTCTATAGGTTCCGCAGGAGCATTCTTCGGGGCTGGGATCTGAAATTTGTTCGTGCGTTCTGCCGAGTTTTTTGTTGACCCGCCTGCACATTGACCAGAAAATTACCACTGCGATGGGCAGGCTATAGGAGATAAGCCAGGAAGTGGTCAGACGAAGATGTCTGCGGCTAGGGATGACTGAAGCCAATCGAAATGCTCCCACTAATCAATTCACTTCCTTCGTTCATTGAGTTCGCTAAAAGTTAAAGCTGCCACAACGCTCAGTATTCAATTGCTTTGGAAGTTTCAAATGGCGCCGAATTTTTTGCGGACTTTGTCGCGCAACCAAGACCCGTGCGGAGGTGAAGGATCCACAGAGAGACGTAGAAGTGTCGGATTCTATGGCTTTAGAAGGCCTAAAATCGCATTCAAGATAAATTTCTCGTGAAATGCGGTGATGAAAAACAACGTAGGCGGTTGACGGAGCAGCAGTTGACCAACTCACTGCCTGCAGGAAAATTTGCGGCTGTTTGGGAGAACAATGCTGGTCGTCATGGAGCCTACTCTTAGCGCTCCTTATTTGCTTCTGCGCATACGTTACCTGAAATAGCTACCTTTATTAACGGATATTACTTCGACGCTGCCAGTTTTAAATAAAAATGTATCCTCTACTCCCAGATATATGCGTGAGCAGTCTCGGGAATTATTGGTCTGTCATGCTCGGTAACAGTGCTGAATTAATGCGCATTTTACTCGCTCTTGCATTTCATTTCTGTTTTCCCGTAGCGGAAGGCCCACGCTTGTTAGCATTCCGACGACAACGAGCGATCGCCCTCATTGTCGGCGCCGCGGTTGTGTTGGTCTGCTCCTTGTTCGTTATAGGCTTGCTAATATTTCTTAGATCCCTTTTTTGTGCACGCATTTGCATTTTTGTTTTACACTGTTTTCGCGTTTCTGTGTGCCTCGGAAGCAGCGATACGGTGGACTCGTTCCACTGTCGTGCATGCAGTTGTTCTCGTCATACCGATACGGGACATCACGGGGTGTGCTTTGATCTGGGGTCAGGGGGAAGGTGTACCAGTCTGAACTACACTTAACACTTCCTACTGCACGTGTTATATTTATCCAAGAATTACTAGAGGTTGACTGCTTGTCCGTCATATATCCTTATGTGTTGCAGAACACTGCTAGTTAGATACAAAAATACCCAATGCTGCACGCCTGTCAGTCAAATGCTATGCTCGTCTAGCTATGGATGGCTTGAATGCGAGTAGAGTGTAGGGACGGCACCTCCGCCTCTCCTCTCATGGCGGGGACTGGGAGATCCACGAACAGGGAAAGAAGATGACTTTTTTTAAAACACTCAATACCGTTTAATCAGATATACTTTAAAGTCTGAAGGTACTATGTGTAGCCCTATAGAGATATTGAATGGAGCTTTGCAAGCATTGCTTAGACACTCACAGTTTTCATGCTCTGCTTGTAACCACACCTGCACTCGATGAAGCATAGGAGGAGTGAAATTACGCATTGCTTTTCCTGATAAGTCTCGTTTATTAAAAAAAGTTACAATTACCTGACGTTTTGATTTTTTAATGAGATCTTAAGGCGATCAAACTCTGATTATTTGGTGGATTGGCCATAATATGCAAAATGTATTGGAGGCTGCTGCCCCCCGACTGAAAAATAGATACGGGTCAAAGTTTCTGTAGCCCGGAAAAAGCTACCCTAAATGACGGAGGGCTCGTTTAATTGGATTAGCCAGCTGTTCAATTTGTGTACATAACAATTTGTGCACTGGAAACGCGGCGTTAGGGGCTGGTCGTTCGGAAACACCACCTCCACCAAGTACATCGTGGCCAGCGTGGTAGTTCTTGTGTTTGCGAAAACATCGAAAAATTACCGCGTGGCCTTCCTTCAAATGCATCTCTAGGGGCCCATCTGTGGGACAGAAAGTCAACTTACCCTGTGCATTGCGGTACTTCCTCTTCGCCTACATCCAATGGTGTTGGGTTTTCGCCGTACTCCCCCCAGAGCCAGAGAAGCGTCTAGCCTACTATAAATCCAATTTCGGACTGCATAAGATCAGCATTCCGCTTCTTAAAACGCGTAGAACAAAACCCACCCACCACAAGTTGTGAATTCATACTGCATTTAATATTTGGATGGCACCGCCGTGAGGACCCTTGGAATGGAATACAAGCGCACTGGAGGTGGGGCACAGGTGTCCTCCCCCTCCTCCACAAGATGGCGTGCGGGTAGAGATGCCGCTGCATGGAGTGATCCAGATCTCTTTGGAGACGGAGACGGGGAGGTGACGCATGAGGAGTTCGATGTAAATGAAGGGTACCCTCAGGAAAATAGCGGGAATAATGCACAGGCGAACAAGCAAAACCGCCGGGCGAGTGAGTGTGCACGGTTCCGGCTGATATAACTTGGCTGAAAATCAGCTATTAGGGTGAAGGTGTATTCCCCGGCTTGGGGTTGCTGTTCTGAGTACTTCCAAGCAGGAATTGCAAGTTAGTACCTATTTGGATGAGCTGCAAAACAAAGGATGAAATTTTTTTAATTCTGTTTCTGCGGTCCATGCGGCAGGCACCTTCTCTCTCTCCGGCTCAGATAGAGAAGCTGACGAGGCCCCACCGGAAGAACCCGCTGCTCCTCGACATCAAAGGAAGCAGCGGCAGCCTCCCCTTAGCGCGAATTCTTTCCTCTTTAACGCCGACGGCTCTCCTAATGATGGAATTCTTTCAATGTACTGCAGTATCAATTACTCGAAAGAGAAGCTGCATAGGTTCAAATTTTTCCAGGTTCAGGAGGACCGCGATGCGCGAAAAGAAGAATGTAAGAAGGAACTGCGTGCAGCGCAAGCCCTTCTAGCGATACATCTTCGCGGAGGAAAGGCGACTGACAAGCCTAGGCTGGGCCAGGATGACTTACAGCAGCAGCAAACACAAGAGGTCCTGAGGGCGGGGGTTCTCGTGAAGAACAAGAAGCGCTACTTGGCACGCTTGGCCGTGGAAGAACGTGTGGATCTACGGGATGATTTGAACACTTTGCTTTCAGAAATCAGGGAAAGCCTGGTCTTGTGTTACCCCTACAACGAGCATCTCTCCCGCTTAGCCCGAAGGCTTGATAAGATTAGTACCCACCCGGACCTATGGGCGAAGTACCGTCCGCGCCTCGTTAAGATGCATGTGCACGGTTTTTTAGAGAGGTGGAAATATGCGGGATATCCCCCGAATCCTAGCAAGCTGTTACAAAGCGACCAAGCTGACCCGCCACCGGAGACTGAAGATCGGTATGTGCACCCTACAGAGGAGTGTATGGGCGACGATCCCTACAGGAAAAACGCCTGGGAAGACGAGCAGCAAAGCTCGATACCCCCTCATGGATTTCAACTACCCCAAGAACATGCAGATATTGGAAGAGGACAAGCAGGCCAAGGTGCTCGAGAAGGGCCATACCCTGAGGAAAATGGTATGGTAATAACTCTGGCCTTGTGGGCATAAAGGAAATTCACTTTTGATTCACAGTTCTGCCTTTCGGATCTTCTGTATTTAATTGCATACATAATTGTATAGCTAGCCTTACCGTGCATACGCGCACGACAGGGAACATGGGCACACCTCTTTCTACAGGGTGGGGGTGCACTGGGCACGAGTGCAACGCTGCAGCATCTTTCAGCAGTAGATAAATTTTTGCACCCACTGTGTTCCACTTGCGTTTCGTGTGTTTTATGTCAGGCCCCTCTGCTGAGGAACTTGCGGAATTACGGCAGAAGCAGCGCGAGGCGAAGGAGAAGAGGCAAAAACTAAGAATGGAGGCGCAGCAACAACTATTATTATCGTCCAACAATAAGGCGGAATCCGGGAATGATTCAGTACCTTGAGGTGCTGCCGCGCAGCTAAGAATAGTACGCTCTCACCCAGAGAGCACTAGCATCATAGTGAGGCGAACTTGAGGTACAGCCCAAATAAGGTCTCTCATCATGAGGCATCTTTGCTTTCAATTATACAACAAGCTGCTTCACGAGAGTAGTCGGTCTTTTGGCATTCACCGCTTTCGCGCTTGACACAGAAACACGTTTTTTGTAAGCCTTATACTTGAATTTAGCTGCCCCCTTGCTTCTTTTAGGAGATGGTGTTCTGAACGACCACCCCTCCAGGCGGTAATTTCAGGAATCGAATTCCTCCCTAAGCAAAGTGAACAGCTGGCTGATTCAGTTAATTTGTCCCTTCGTCATTTATGATTGCGGACCCGGACTTGTTGAAGACTTCGCGTAAAGGATTTAGAGGTCGCCTTCTTGTACTGTTACTATACATGTGAGTGTCTGATACTAAAAGCCGCAGGAGCCAGCTCCTGAAAACTAATTTTCCATCCACTCCTCCCTTTGCCGCTTAGAGTTATTAATCTGCACGCTTTCAGGTGCCAGTGAACACATGGATGTGGAATCATCGTTGCTAACTCCGCAGCTAGCTGCCTTCTCAGTACATTACACAGTTTTCTGCTAAAATTCTCTTGGGTGCATTGAAACTACTCGCGTTAGATTAGAGGTGCGAGCCAAAGACCAACCAAATCCAATATCAGCTGATTTAGGCTGGGATTAAAAAACTTCAGAGGAAATTAGCTTGGCGTTTGGTTCTTTACCAACTATACACCATGCAAAAATCTTATTTTCAGTGTTCAAGCAGCTCGTTTGCATTGTTTACATCTTGGTGCCGCGTATGTCTGCGGGGCTGCGGTCTAGGAGGTTGGAGAGATCGCTAACTTTCTGATCCTTGGTGCTAGGGCCTCCATTTGCATGCACACCAGTGTAGAGACTTTTATCGTCATGAAATTTATTGGCTAGTGCCTTTGTTCCTGTGTATACTGGCCCCCCTGCGCTTGATAGCTGTGAAACAAGATCCTGGTATCCCATTTTCTTTTTTTCGGCTATTAGCTGAAGGGCCTGTTCAAACTCAGCGGGAGATATCGTCTTGGCACCTTTTTGCTTCACCTTGGCGAAAATCAAGTCTGCATCTGTCGTAGTGTAGAGTTTGCAGAATATCTTGCAATCCTTACATACCTTTACAAACGTCCTGCCGTCCATGGAGGCGCAGTTGTGCGTAAATTGGTCGAAGACTGCCTGGACCGACATTTTATATTGTGACGAAAATGACTTTCCCGTGGAGCGAGAGCCTGGAATACACGGCACAGTGGAGTTACTTGGCCATACATGTTCAGCTGCTTGCTTCTCACCAATATTTTGGCATTATTATTTCCATTCTTATATTATAATGCTGTGTAGAGTTACGCTGAGAAAGAATTTGTTGCAGCTTAAATGAAAATATGAATTACATGTAATATTCATCGATCGCGCTGCATTCCCGATGCATGGAAACGTGAAGGAATTCTATGAGAAGTGGGCTTCTAGGCTCCAAGTTCTTACCCTTTTAGCTAGTTAGCAGCGTATTTATGTCTCATGTTACTAAATATATGTGATGAAGCACAAGGGCTGCTCATGTGCTATGCAGAGAAGCTGAGGCAGAGGGTGCGGGGCGTTGGCTGCTTTTGAGCGCACGCGCACTTGGTAGACTTGTTGGGCGCAAATGCAGCGAAATATTATGCAATGTATCCCATATGGGCCACAACTGTCTTTGAAGCCTAGCAGTTGCTGAATTGCGGTAAAGAAGCAAAATCGTTCCCCCGGAATGAGTTGACGACATCTTATGGTTTCTTCCTCATTAGAAAATCCATTGAACGCCGCCCTGGAGCGTTGCACGATGGATGAATGTACTAGTTAATATTCTATCGTGCACTGCTTTCCGCCTAGAATGAAATGGTGTATGACACGGAGACCAGTGGTGTGACCCTCAAAGTGCCTAACGTCAACCCCCACCAAAGTGTGTCATGTCACTTTGCCAAACAGAGCTCAAAAACGTAGGGCTCAGGCATAAAATCATCGTTTTGTCTTAATATCTATCTGATTCCTGTTTTTGCTGAGTGCGCGTGCAAGAGTTTTGTAGAAAAGTGCAATGCGAAACAAAGTGACATCGGATTTGAAGAAGCAAATTCGGCGAGGCTCACATACAGGGAACAGACTACTTTCCATTTATGCTCTACTTGAGGAATACCGGATACTCAGTGTACAATAGGGTATATATCTAGCAGTTCCTTACATCCTGGAAAGGACCATACACTTGCATCTGGTTTAAACATGCTCCTTCTGAAGGAAGCACAGAAAAAGATTCCAACGAGCAAGGCAATCCCAATCAAGTAAATGGCTAGATGTCGTTGGTGGCAAACGTGCATGTTTCTGGCTCATTCTCTGGCTCTGGAAGAGAAGTTGTATTCCTCAGGTAGTTATCCTGCAGCTAGCCATCCTTTGAAGCAAGGGTGACGCACCGCCGCAGAACAGCCCCGCCACTGCTTTTGCTCTCAATGCTGCCTGAATGTACTCTCTGACATTTTCTGTTTTCTTTAGAAGACAGGCCCCTCTCTAAATGGAAAACCAGTCTGTGCTGCAGGGTTGAGTGCACATCTTTTTAAAGCAGCACTGCAAAATGTTGCCACGGCAAGAAACAATACGACAACGCTGATGCGCCTCTACTGAGTACTTTCGCCACCAAAACTAGACATTACTTTCCATGAGCAGCTACACAATTATCAACCTGATTTCTTATGTTGCCGCCCACAATAGGAATGCTGAAGTTTTGGGCATCGCTGCTTCTGTTATTGTGTTCTACCCTCCGCTACTCTCATGTGCTGTTCCCATCGAAGCCAATGTATACGTTCCTTCATGTTTTAGTCAAGGGGTCTTCTTATGGGGGTTGAAAGCCAGACTAATCATTTTGCTGTTCCGCTAACCAGCACTAGCTGCGATGTTATGTGCCTTCTGATCTCTGATCTTTGCACTGTGTAAAGCAACATACTGATGGAATACACCGCCTTATTAGTGAAAAAGGCTCCTGGGATATTCGCCTTTTAATATACTTCCCTGCATGCGACAAAATTTTAGCCTAATACTCCGAGTGACATGCAAGGCCGGGTGTAAAGTTCCACTGAACGCCGTTGCAATAATGCAGTTACAATGCAAACATTAGCCACAAATCCAATGAACGCAGGGTCATCCACATCATCGTGGGTTTTGCCTTGCTTTTGAAAATTCCAGTGTTCCCATGCCGGCTGTTGATGCCCTTTTTGTTGCTACTACTGCTGTAGCTATTAGTATGATTGCTTGTGCTGCTGCTATTGATACTCTCTCTGGTGCTGGTCTTGCTGTCTCTCTTGCACACATCTTGCACAGTCGCAGGTAAACCTGTAGCTGTCGAGTAGCGCCTGTCTTTTTTTCTGCGGTAGCGACAGGGGCACGTACGAAATAGTAAGCTCGTCTCCCTCGGCAATTGGCCTTTCAGCTCGCAATGTGATGCTTGCATCTTCAATGTTCTCGACAGAGCAATTAGGTATGCAGCTGTGGTTGCAGCACGCCTGCAGTAAGTACACCCCGGCGGCCCTGAGAACCATCAGACTCCCCTCGTTGGTGGCTCCCCACATCAACAGCGACTGTGCATTCCGCATGAGTGTCCCATAGAGGAATGCCAGGCCCTCGATTCCCAGCAACGCAGTAGCAATATCAGATCCAAGCACTGCTGAAATCTTCATGTCCAGAACTGCTCGCAGATCCAGGCAAGCGATGCTCAAATCGAATGCACTGTGCGCCTCCGTTGCCTCTGCTCTTGCTAGCCGCAAGAATGGCCTGCATGCTTCTGCGTACGCGTTCTCTAGGCTCCACCCACCCATTGCGTGCAAACTGGCCGTTGTTGCAGCAATCCTCGCCACAACCCTCGCCAAGGCCTCTAACCCAACCGGATTTTCGTGGTCCTCTTCTACTGGAAGGCCAGAACTCCCATTGAGTCGCCGCTGGTCCTTCCCTCGTAGGGTACGGAGGCCCTCAGGAGACAAGAACTCCTGCCAGCCAAACACACGCCGCACTGATGATACATCAGAAGGATTCTTACTGCTGCTGTTGCTTGGAGGTTTGCTCTGTGTGGCCCTGAGGTAGCCGTCCATGCCGCGTTTGCGGGAACTAGGGGACTGCATGCAAAATGGATCCGTAGTTGCCTCCCCTACAGGAATGGGGCAGCCGAATGCCTGCTGATGGCAATGGGAACTGCAGAACCAAAAAGTGTGGCCCTCTCCGTCATGCATACAAACACCAGTTTCTTCAGAAGCTTCTGATTGTGTTTGCGGCAACACGGTTCCTTCCCCTTGCTGCCCGTCTTCGGCTTGAACAGCATTTGCAGTACTGAGTACTTCTGTATCTGTGGCATTTCGAGGCGCAGAAGTTCCGCATAGTCGTACCTTGCATCTATGGCTTTCGTTGCTGCTGTCGGATAATTGTTCTTTCTGGAAGGGCCTGATTTTAAGACAGTTTTCGCAGAACGTGTAAGCATCAGCTGCAGCTGAGGCCCTCACAGGCCAAGCAACAATTGGGGACTCTACGAGAAGGGACTGCCCTGGATTTGCTGGAGCATTGGCCCTCATTTCCTTCCCATGGGGACCCAGGACAATCGAAAATGAATACGGGGCGCACAGCGCCGCATAGTCGGATGCCCACTCGAAGTCCTCCATGAGGTAACCTTACGGCTTAAATGCAGCCTTAAAGGAGGAATATGACGCAGTTTATTAAGAAAAGTAAATGCTAAAAGGATCGGAAAAAGACCTTGTGGTGAAAAGGGGATAGCACTTCAGAAGGACTGGGGGGATCTTGCTACGGAGTACGTGTGGAAGATGGTAAGTATTTGTAAAGGGGCTAGCCTTCCACGTTGGATATCAAATCCTCGAATTTATAATTAGGGAAAGACTGCGACTTTACTGATATTCTTGCCTTAAGAAAAGGTGTAGAAATGTACGGAAGGCCGAGCCGACTCTACTAAACCCAAATCATGCATGCACAGGTACTACCAGAGATTTGAAGTTTCCCAGGTGTTTTGAACTGAGCCACCAAGCATTCTATACGAAACTTTAGGTTTACCGCTCATGCACTTGGTATGTATCCCACTAAAGAGTGGATGTTCTACACCATTGCTAGGGGAAAGGTAGGTGTACAAGCTGAAGCTTCCGAACCTTGAGTATCTCACTACAGTGCCAATATAGTGGAGCCTCTGTGCATCGAATATTCCATTAAAATGCATCCAGACCTTTCTTGGCAGCCCATTTGCATGGTTGAATACCTCCACAAAGATGAACTCGCCCACATGAGAGTAGCTTGTACCCTGGACTATGCCATCCCCATCTGCCAGTGGGATTAAGCTCTCCTTTCAGTGATCGGGAGGCTTTCTTTAAGGTTTTTTCGAAGATAAGTGCTCTCTCTACAGCTTCATGGGGCGTATCGGGTCAACTTACTCTCGGGCAACTCTTGCTACAGGGTCAGTATTTAGTCGATAGTTATGTAGATATTGATTCCACGGTTTGGCTATTATTTTTTCTACATGCTCATCAGTTGCTCTGTGCTCCAAATGTGCCTGCAGTGTGTCTGTGTGCAAAGGTGTGGCTCGTGCTAGGACTGCTCACAGCGCGCAGGTGCCTACACCCCCGTTGTATTTCCTTCCCGCAGGCAACAACATGGCAGAATGGGGGTTTGAGAGTAATTAGATAGCTTTAAAGAGGGTCTAACTGATTGTGTGGCGGGGAAAACTACACTTGGTCACCTATTACTACGCCATCAATATTCTATCACGAATTAATAAAAGATTGATCTACTAGATTGGCATTCGGTAGACCTGATTTGCTGCAGAGTGAATAAGGTGTAGTACGATAAGAACCATCGTTGTGTGCCTCTCCACTAGACGCCATGTGCAAGTAGCTTTGAATGATCGGAGTGCCCATAGCATGCATTGGCAACGTCTAATGAAAACAGTCAATCATACAGTTCCAAGATATCAAGAACCACGAACACCCTCGGAGACTTTGCTCATCCACGCCAGTAGCCTAGATGCCATTACCTTTGGCACACTTTACTAGCAGCCAATACACGTCCCAGGCAGAGATGTGAACCTCACGACAACTCGTCCTTCAAAAGCTGTAGTTGGTCTACTGGTAAGGCCAAAATCCCCTGACACGATAGGGTATGGCATGCTCCAGGGAAGGCGGATGCAGCTCGCAAGGGATTTGTGGGCAGCCATGCAAATTCCCATCGTTCTAATTACAAACCTAATTATCACTGATAAGCAAGTTTAAGGGTGTCAGGGATAATTAGAAGCACTATGAAGCTCGAGCATATTCTCAAAGGCCACCGCTGTGGCTGGTGCTGGCCAGAGTTTCTTAAACACGATGTGGTAGCAAAGTCCTCTTATATGGGGTAAGTGTGCCCGTGCGGAGATCACAAACTCGATGGCCGCTCTGCCGAAGCTTCCTAAGGCCCCTCCAAAATGTAACTCAAGAACAAATCCATCGATTTCACGTTTTGGGGCTTGGTGCGAATTCTCTACATGACATAGCTGGGACAGATTGTTCCCCTGCATCAATGCTCACTGGGCCGCCTGCTGCACGCCTGCAAGTCAAACACCGGCACCAAGAACAAGAATGCTTTTCTATCAGAAACAGGTAGATGCATCAGGACAATATACAATTCAATGCAAAATAAAAGCTCAAAGATTATTCGGACTTCCCTCACTGGTGTTCTACATTGATGTGTGCAAGCTAAGGTAAGGCTGCCGAGATAGCTTCCTCGCCAGCCCAGTAGGCGAAAGAACCGCTTCCAGCCCAAGCAGCTACCTGGAACAAATATTTTTGCTGTTTGTTGATTCTTCAACCTTGACCATAATTGAGGTCGAATCTATTGCCATGGGGAAAGAGTACACACATAAACGAATTCTGGGATGATATCCTTCCTGACGATCGTCCTCCTCATGCACAATCCCTTCTAGTTCACACTATGGACGAGCATCCATCTGGAGCTGGGGGCTCTGATCAACGATGGACGTGCAGGGCTCCTACCTGTTGGAGCAACTACGAAGAGAGAATTTGGAGGCGCGACTGTAGTGCTGGCGCGCAGCATACGCTACCTTGTCTGTAGGCCGAGAGCAGGAGGAGGGAGGAGCTTTGTCGAAAGCACACTTCATCGCTTTCCTTTGAGGTTTGCCACGCTTTCAGGAGAGTGCTGTTATAGCGGAAAGCATAGTTGGCTCGTTGCATGGTGCGCCAATTACGGCAACCGTCCCATCAAGTTCAAAGGGGTTTGTTGTGTCTGAAGCAGAAGATGCATATATTAGGCCTGCTGCATGCTTAAAATTCAGCCGTGCCTTGAAATACCCTAGGCCTTAGATGGATCATAAAATCAAGACCCATTGTTCAAAGTTATTTTGGGACGTGAGCCGTCTCGAGACACAGGACATACTTGGAGGCCTCGCAAAAGTCCAACAACACGTGCAAGTTGACAGACACATTTCTAGTTTCGTCTTAAAAGTGGGAAAAGAATCTCTTATACAGGGTGAGGAATGCACCACGTATTTTCAGTCCATCTCATTAGTCGCTGTCCTTCCTTATACCTTCCCATATACTCAGAGCAAAATGTGTTTTCTTCGGAATAATTGCAAGGAATCTGTAAACTAGCACAGGTGGCGAATACCACTAAAATCAAGGTATATCAGTTTACACCAGAGTTGTATGGTAAATCAAATCACAAGGAAAAAAGTAGGAGCAAGGCATGCTTCCTACCATTCTGACGGTCGGCAGCGCCACAGTATGTCCCGACAATGTTAAGAGAACCAGTTGATTTGTCGGACTAACGCGGGACTTCGCTTTTGACACTATCAGAGAGTGCATTTTGGAGCCGTTGAGACAATGGTTTTACGATATTTTAACGACTCGACAAGGGGATTTCTAAGTGCCCTCTGACCATCTTTTCACCCCAGCGTCAACGTGACTCGCCACGAAGAATGCTTTTTCATGAAACTTCTTAAGCCAGCTGATATATTATTTTTATAGAATATACTAGGCGGAGGTCGACAGAGATTTCGACATTATAATGCAATATGTCACCACAATGCTCCAACCAATGGCCTCACACGGGCCGAAGCGATGGCTGGCGCCGCAACGAAAATCTAATTTGCGGAGGGACTAAATTTGTTGCGTACGTTTTCTCTGCCTTTCTAGTCCTTGTACTGCGCTGCTCACTTCCGACAGAAGGTACATTAGTCAACGTTGAGGGGCCTTCTCAGCGGGGAGTGAGGGCGTATAATGACGAATACAACTATGCATTCCATCCACACAAGGTATGATCATCGCATTCCCGTGAGGTGACAAGCGTTTCTGGAGAGCATGAAATTCAAGTGATTTTAGTGCCACACCTTATGTGTAGCGTGGAGGCCAGCGAGCGGTCTCAGATGCCAGCACGCGGAGAAATCCAGAGGCTCCGATGAAGCACAAATAACGAATTGGGTAAACAGATACGTGGCGGTGATAAGCGAACGAAAGGCCTGCGCAGTTTCACGCAGACATGTGCTTGTTTCCTGTTGCAGGATGATCGCAAGAAGTTTACTGGTTTGATGGAGCAAGCCAAAATGGGGCAACACGGCAGAAATTTCTTGGAGACACGAGGCTTCGGAATCCTCCCAATCCTAGGCCCAGCCATGAGCTTCTCTGCTCTGCGCAGCACTGCTCCGTCCGCTTTCAGCCGGCAACTCCTCGGGGGAGCTCGGAGAGGGCAGGCTGTGCGTGCCGTTCGCGGACCACAGGCAACCCCCGCACCCCGTATCTTTCAACCAGGTCAGCATGAAATTTTCGCATGCCAGCTGCTGATTGACTGAAAACTGTTTTAACGAGGGACTGGGGACGAAACTGGGAGTTCGTAAAATTACGGGCAGTCGCTTACGCAGACTACACGCCTACAGAAACCGACTACTACTGGAAGCTCATTTTGCTGAACTGAAGGTGCCAGTGGGATGTAGATTTCTTCCTTCCAACGCTTTGCCTCCTCCTGTTAACGTGAAAGATTGATAATGGGTGACTTCAAGTGCTTTTGCGCACACAGGCGGGGGCCCCAGACAAGGTCCTCTTTTCCAGCCCACTGAGCGTTCTCCTGGCTTAGCTGCAGCTGCTAGCCGGGCTGCGCGTACTCCATTTGTTTCCGAAAAGGCAGAGATTTCCAAGCGCACACGCGACCGGCTAGGAGCACTTGCAGAGCGGTACAAGAATGACATGGAAGGAAATCTGGGAACAGGGCTGTCTGGGTACACACCTAAAGTCACGACCGGAATACCTCTCAGAGGAGCTCTAAAAATACCGCCTTTACAAGCCCCCATATTGCCACCTAGGCAGGTTAGCAGGTTGATTTCCAGGTATGAACCAGGAAACCCTCAGGAGGGAGAGCTCGGAAAGCAAAGGAATGAAGGGGCACGTAAGCGACAAGAAGAGGAGGCTGAGAGACAACAGAAGGAAAAGGAGCGGAAACAGCAGGAGGAGGAGGCACGTAAACGACGAGAAGAGGAGGAACGGAGACGGCAGGAGGAAGAGGAGGCACGGAGACGGCAACAGGAAGAGGCTCAGAGACGGCAACAGGAAGAGGCTCGGAGACGACAAGAAGAGGAGGCACGTAAACGACGAGAAGAGGAGGAACGGAGACGGCAACAGGAAGAGGAGGCGCGGAGACGGCAACAGGAAGAAGCTCGGAGACGACAAGAAGAGGAGGCACGTAAACGACGAGAAGAGGAGGAACGGAGACGGCAACAGGAAGAGGCGCGGAGACGGCAACAGGAAGAAGCTCGGAGACGACAAGAAGAGGAGGCACGTAAACGACGAGAAGAGGGGGAACGGAGACGGCAACAGGAAGCGGAGGCGCGGAGACGGCAACAGGAAGAGGCTCAGAGACGGCAACAGGAGGAGGCACGTAAACGACGAGAAGAGGAGGAACGGAGACGGCAGGAGGAAGCGGAGGCGCGGAGACGACGGGAGGAAGCGGAGGCGCGGAGACGACGGGAGGAAGAGGAAGCGCGGAGAAAGAGAGAAGCCGAGCTCGAGAAAAAGCGCGAAGAAGCCATACGTGCCATCCCACGTGCTGAGCCTGGCAGTAAGCCAATGAAAAAGGTGCCGGGGGGCCTCCAAGAGGCACTTTCAAAGGCCCTCCAACGCAAAGCGGGGATTGTCACGTCAGCACCTCCGCCACCTCCACCAGCTGTCACTACGCAAACAGCAGAACAACTTCTGGCAGAGGCGCAGGAAATGTTCAGAGAAATTGATGAAGCCGCAGAAAGTGAGAAGAAGCTGCAGGGGACCACTGGAAACTTTAAGACTGGGGCGTGTGTACATGCAGAGTCCGTGGGAAAAGTTGAGAGCCTCTGGCCCAGGAGCAATGATGTCCTCGCACTGTTCGCGATTGTGTGTAAACGTGCGCAGAAAGCAAGAACTTAATCCAGCCGGAGCTGCCGGGGCTAGTTAAAAGCGACTTCATAGGCGAATCTGGTGCGTTGAAGGCTTCGCGCACTCTCTTCGAAGGTCCTAGGTGCTGGTTTGCTGCGTGGATAGTCGGCGAAGCCTGGTTGTAGCCTAATTGTAGTGTGGCGTGAATTTTCTGGTATGTTCCTGCTGGCATGTGTGGGTCTCTTCTCGTCGTCTGCGTTTTTAGAAAAACAAGCAGAAAGTAATCCTTCTATTGAGTCCGGAATACCTGCCGAGCATATGCAGAAGGCGCTTGCTGTTTTTGACTCAAAAGGAAAACCTCATTTCACAAAAGGTCCCCCCAAGATAATAGTGGCAAAATATGATGACCCTAGAACTGGTTAGCCGAAAAGCAACGAGGACACAGGTTGCGCCGTGCTCAGCCTTTAGTTTAAGACACTTGCATATCGGACCAAGCACACTGCCAGGGTTACAATTTGTACGAGCTCCCACACGCTGTCTGGTGCATTGCTGCGCTGCAGGCTGTCACACCATGAGTACAAATTGGAGTCCTTGCTCTACCAACTGTGGACAGGGTAAACGGGTATCCTTCACGCGAGAACTGGTGCCCAAAGGCTGCTTGACGACTGTACACGAGGAAATCTGCGTAAACACCACAGGGTGCATATGTAGGTATCACCCAGCAAGGCTGTTCTGGCACAATACAGCGCTTTAAGCGCATCCGCAGCTGTCAACACTCAAGCCCACATATATAGGATTTGCACAGCAACGGTTGAATTGGTATCGTACCCAGACCCCCTGTGGGTTTACCACAACCCCGTGTCTACAAAAATGTGACACTTTGATGTCGAACGTTGTTGCGTAGGCGGGAAGATGTTGTACGACAACCTTTTAGGAAGCTACCAAGGGCTTCCAGATGCCGCTAGAGAAGAGCTGGGTCGCCTTGTCTCGAAATCACTTAACCTGCGTAAGTTGTTTGGCTCAAATATACGGCAGGGGTATAAGGGAATTAGCACAGAGAAGGGCGCACCGAAACCAAGCCGGTAAGAGGCTGGAAGCGGTTTATAGGGTGCCCCTAGGGAGAAAATTCAACTTTGTCATGCCTAGGAGTGTATGACTGCTTCCTCGCAGGGCGGGATGGCAACCGCGTGTGCTTGCAATTTGATACTGGATATACTGTGCGCGCTTACAATGACGAGGGCCTCCTTGGCACTTCTGGGACTGGGTATCACATACGAATGCTTAAAGAAAGTAACAATGTCGAGAAATCTTGCGATCTATCTACTGAGCACAAATATGTCACACGAACTGAATTAGGTAAGCGGGTCAAGACGGCCGCTCTATTGCTTTAAATGTCAATTCTACAGTTTCAACATGGCGGAGCTATTCAATCGAACAGCAATGATCTTGCGTGCAAGCAAGCGTACGTACACAGCTGTATGAAACACCGTCAAAGCAAAAAATGCAGGTAGCGGTGCCTCTTGTATGCAGTCGCGGTCTACTTTTTGCTTCTGTGAGTTTCGCAGTGACAATGAACGAATTCCGCGACAGTAAGCCTACCGTTGGTGTGCCCCGCAGGACTCTGGTGTTACGGTGACAGTACAGTCTTGCTCATGCCAATAGAATAAGGATGCTCGCTAGACGTGCTGCTCCTCTCACTCCCTGCCTTTTCCACTGTTCTCCTTTCCAATGATGTGGTTATATACGACGCTGCTTGGACAAGTCCCTGCGCCATACAGATATGCTACAAGGCCACAATGAAATTCGGGGAAAGCACAATGTGGCGCCGCTTAAATGGAATCCAATGATTGCAGCGAATGTCAAAAAATACTTGGAGTACCAAAATAAGTACCAAGGTTGCCGTATGGAGCATTCGCCAGTTACCACGCGTACTCTGGTAGGTCCGACGTTCGGCTTTCTATACTGTAGCCAAGGATTTTCCGCAGTCCTATTATTACAAGTCGTGTCTCCTCTAGAGAGTCTCGGAAGCTTTTGTGCATTCAGTTTTGGTCTCTTGCCTGCAACTGGATTGGCATGGAATTGTGTATGGGCATGTGGTCTTTTACTGATTGCCGTAGCACGTATTCACCAGTAGACGAATGAATGCGTTTGCTTGACTGTTGTTCACGTGCAGCCTGGCATTCCCCAGGGAACAGGGGAAAATCTGATGACATGCTGCTCTCCTGGAAAAATACCACCTGACGTTGCAAGCATGTGGGCAAGCGAAGCGTATTGTTACAGGTAAGCGCGAATGACCTATACGACAAGCGAATGCCCTGGCCAAGGAAAAGCTCAGCATCGAAAAGACAGCATTGCTCTGTGTCGTGTGTCGATGTATGTATATGCGTAGGCACGGCAAGATCGGTAACCCTTGTACGGGTTATCTGGGACCGAAATGTAGTACAGAGAAGCATGCACACGGCCTCATGACAGGACATTATACAGCGGTTGCCTGGGATAAGTCACAACAAGTAGGCTGCGCCTATACGGTCTGCGACCGCAAGTGCGAAGGGAATCGGAATATCATTTTAATTGGCTGTCAGTACAACCCAGGTGAGCTGCTAGTGAGAAAAGGCCGTTGGGCGATAATGCGCGTACAATGGGCGTCTCGAATGTGCATCGATTATGCGCAGTTCGTTCTGAGTGGGGGAAAATGCTTTGAAAATCACGTTATCTTACAACGAGCCAGCGGCTGTGGCGTTACACTTATCTTTTTCGTGTGCTGTGCGCTTCTTGTGGCAGGTGGGAATATTATAGGTGCATACCCTTATTCTGTAGAATCTGCACGAGAAGCAATGGCAGTTTACCCTTCCATATTGCCAGGAGCTCCTGGCGACGCTGAATCAAGACTTGAATGCGAGAAGTTCAGGATGAAGATGGAGCAGGAGAACCCCAGGGTTGACATAACACGAAAAAAGTCCTCGGGTGAAGATTCGTCTTGAGTCATCCGTCGGGAAATTTCTCAAAGGCATTCCCTTAAGTTCTCTTTCAACGCCGGTCTCTGTGGGAGGACGGCATACGTCAGCAATTCGTATGCAAGGCGTTACGAGTATTGAAAAGGTGAGGAGCGCCCACATGCAAAGTTCTCATATGGATGCATCGCTCAGGTAAACGCTTCCGTTGGACGCCTGCATGGTTCAGGAACGGACGGAGTGCCTGTTCGTCCGTAACTTCATGTGTGCGGTCGTGTTCTCCATGGCGAGTCAGCTACCCCATGGACTCGCTCCGAAGCACAGGACACCATGCGGAGCTCCAACGGCTGTCGCGGCTTGCGGCACAGTCGATGTGATGAATTGTTGCACTCGCATTCAGTGTTTAACACAACTTTCTTCTGCTGCGACTTATGTGTTCGTACGTCTTGAGACATTTTAGGCGCCACGCCTGTAGCATTTTAGCCCTCGGGAAGCCTCACGGAGGACTATCCGCCCGACCTCTGTACAAGAAGTGGCGAATGGGTTTTTTTTCCGGCAATTCGCCGCATTTTGTGACATACACTATTTCATGGATCGCACATACATGGCTTGCTCAACAACTTTTCATGGCCCACAATCCGGGTACACTTGGGTTCTGGTTGATGCAACAGGCCTTTCTCCATCACCACGAGCCCTGGGTGGCCCGTGGTGAGCTGCATATGGTTTTTGGCCTCCGCGCGTAATCGATGATTTTACGGAGAGCAGACCTTCCCGCATAGCATAGGCCGTAACAGGGTGCAGCCTAACAGGTGAGTTGTGTCGCGTAGCCCAGCCACTACACGCAGCAACAGGGAGATGCGAACGAACCAGTAGTGCCGTAAATATTGACAGCTGCTGTGCGTCACGAGGGGGAGTAAACGAAAGAAGAGTGCTCTAAAAGGCCACTTTAGGGGCGCACATGCCAAAACGGGTGCACAGGATGTACCCAACAAAATCCCCAAAACTTTCTTCACGCAATACTTTCGCTAGGGGTGAAAAAACTACAACACCTGCGATACGAGGATTGAACGCCTTTGAGACATTGGCGCACGTAGAAGTCGAAATCATTTCTTAGTTATGCACTTTAGGGGCCAGAAAACTTGAGGTGGGCCTTGGCTATATATATATATATATATATATGTATATATATATATATATATATATAATTCTAGTAGCCTCTGTGCCGTTCCCAGCTGCGCCTGCCCCATGATGCACTTCTACTGCTGCGGGCCCTTGAAGGGTCTCTATAACGACCGCGTGGTCTGCCGGAGCCTCCCCTGTACCCCCTATCTTTTGCGTAGCCGTAGTCGGTATCATCTCCTAAGCGCCTTCCGTAAGCCTCCCGTCTCCTGTCCGCTTCCCTAGAGCGTCTTACGGGCCTTGCACCAGGAGGCGAACCAGAGGGGGCGTATCTGCTCCTCTTATAGGGAGACTCCCTGTAGCTAGCCTTGCCTCGTAGGCCCCCTTCTGGGGAGTGGGAACGCAGCGGCTCTGGGCTTTTGGAGTGACGCTGCACAAGATGCCGGCCTTGAGCATGCTTTTCAGAGGCTCCCTCTGCCGCAACGTCCACAGAGCGACGGCTTACGGATCTGCTAGCAGACCGCTTTTCCGCTATCGAGGAAGAGCGGCTCCGATGTCTCTTCCTTGTGACAGAGGCACGCCTCTCCCTGGAAAATGTGCGCCTACGCAAAGGAGGAGCAGGAGACGGTCCACGAAGTCTGCTAGACTGCCCCCTCGGGGGGATTTCCTGCCTTGCACGCTGTACCCCACGCTCCCCGCTACGTGAGACTCCATGTTTTTGCGAGAGAGACCTCGGGGGGGAAACCGAGCCTCTTGGAGGCCTCTTTACCCCGGCAGGCCTCCTCTCAGAGCTTGACACGGATCGACTCCTGCGTTTACGGTCCCGTCTCTCCCTTCGTTCTGCAGCTCGCGCATCCCTGCGTCTGTCATTCGGTGTTGGGGAACGCTGGACTGCACCCGGTGAGCCCTCAGACTCCCTTGGGGGAAGTTTGCAGTAGCGCCTCGTTTCCGAGGACCTTCTTGAAGCCGAGGCGACAAACTCGTCGCTGAGCAGACACCTTCTTCCCGGCGACACCGAAGCCTCTCTGTCGTGCCGTGAAGGCGGCGAGGCACAGCGAGGCTTGGCCAGATGGCCTTCTTGGGTGCGCTCCTTGATGCCGTCTCTCGATCGAGAGTGGGGCGGCTCAGGAGACAGTCTAGACCTGCGGGGTGATCCGGAGGTTTCGTCTGGAGGGGGGTGAGGTCGCTTCCTCTGCTCGCCGGGTGAGTGAGACCGCTCAGAGCGCCTCCGCCTTGCAGACGGATTGGCATCGTCATCGTCATCCCTGCACGAAGAAGATACCCGACGAGCCCTCCCCCCCTCCAAGAGGCCTTTCTTCTCGGCAGAGGGAGGAGGCTGTTGCTGCTCCTCAGCGGCGGAGGGGGGAGGCGGCGTGCAGCTTCTTTCCCTAACAACATGACGACGAGAAGCAGAATCTTCTCGTGGGAGCGACTCTCGGGACCCTTGGCCCCTCTTGTAGGCCACACCCTCGGAGCTGCGGCTGCGCTGCCGGCGTTGCATGCGGCTGTCTCGAGCCTCCCGGTAAGGAGGACGAGCTTCGTCATACCGACGAAAGCCCCTATAACCACGCTCCCCGCTGTTGAGGCTTCGCCTTCCCTCTCCGTAATCCATGCCCAAATCCTCGTCTTCGCACCGTCGCCACGAGCGCCCCCCGTCTCTCCTGTCGTCGAAACGCCTCGAAGAGTCTCTCCACGGCCACTCCTTCTCCCCCCTCCAGTGATCGCCCCCCCCTCTGGATCTAGGAGCAGCTCTGTGGTGCTGCTGCTGATAGTAGCCACCCCTGCCTCTTTCCCTGCTGTCTCCGCGGTAGCCTCTTGCGGGGTGACTCGGAGGCGAGCGTCGACTATCAGGCCTCCCTCTAAACCCCTCCCTGCTGCTGCTCCGACGTCGTCTCCGAGGACCTCTGGGGCTAAGACTCCGGTGGCTGTTTTGACCGCTACTGCTCCTGCTCCTGCTCCTGCTCCTGCTCCGCCGCCATCGGCCCCCCTTCTGCTGCTGCGAAGGCGCTGCTGTCTCCTCCTCGCTGACCTGCTTTCGGGGAGCCAGCAGCCCGTCCTTCCCGATCCGCCTCCTCTTGAACATGTTGCCGCCGCTGTTGCAGCCACCTGATCTACTGCCCTCGGAACCTTCATCTAAGCTGTCTGCCGCTGCTGCTGCTATCCCCGCCCCTCCCCCCGACTTCCCCTCGTTGAGCCTGTGAGCCTCGAGAGCCAGCGCAAGGGGAACGGCAGGGGAACCACGCGAACTGCCGGAGCTCCTGGCTGGAGAGGCATCCCGATCAGCAACTGGAATGGAAGGTGGCTTAGGCCTGCGCCATGTCGGCAGCGCGTCTGCATCGTCTTCGATCTCTGAATCCCTCCCCTCCGAGGCTTCTGCCGCTGCCACACCGTCCCGTGCTCCTCCTCTTGCCAAGGCACCATCAGGAGCATCCTCCGATTCTTCCTCCACCGCCTCTTCTCCCAAATCAACTCCGCCAGGAGGACGACCTACAAGACTCTTCTTCTCCGTCTCGGCGGGCAGGGGAGGCGGCAACTCGGGGTCTTGGGAAGGCGAAGATGCCTGCTGCTGACTCTCAGCGCCAGCAGCTGCTCCTGCTGCCTCACTCTCCGCAGCCGCCAGCAGGTATGCCTCCGCCAGGGCTGCAGCTGAAACTTCGTCCGCGTCTCCCTGGACTGCCCCACCACGCAGATGTCGTGGCTGCTGCTGCTGTGCTGAACGAGACAGCACGATTTTGATCTTCGGCTTCGCCTCCAAAAAGCCCAAATACTTCTCCGCAGCGCGACTGCTGTCGGCAGCTAGTCCAGAAGCCTCTCCACCCGACACAGTGGCACTACCAACAGCGAAGCTCTTCTTGAACGGGAAGGCTGCACTGGGGGAGATATCGGCACGTGCTGCTGCAGGCCTTACTGTTGTGTTCGATGCCGCCGCTGCTGCTGCTGCAGAATCTGCTGCTTCCGACTCAACAACTTGAGCTCCTGCTGTCGCTGCAGCCGAAAATCCGCCCTCCTCCACAGGCTTCGGAGCCTGAGGGGCGGCCATTCCCCAACGACTCTTCCACTTGGAAACTTTGCGACCCTCCTCAGCTCCAAGTGCAGGCACCTCTTCCTTCTGAACTGCCTCCCGCTCTTCGCTCTTGAAACCTTCTTCTGCTGCTTCACGCTCATCCTTGGGGGACCCCTCTACCGCCTCACAGGCCGACCGCGCTGCAGCGTCAGACGCCTTCACGCTGCTACTGCTGCCTCGTCTGCTGTCTGTTCTTTGTGCAGCACTCGCCCCACCAGCAGTGCCTCCCCGAACACTAGGACTCCTGCTGCTGCTGCTGCTGCTGCTGCTGCTGCTGCGGCGTCTGCTAGCCTCTCTCTCAGACGTCTCGCCATACACGTGCCTTCCAGATGCTCGGTGCCTCCCAGTCTCCCGCCGAGACTGGCTGGTGGACGCCCTCTCTTCGCACCGGCTGCGACGGCCCTCAGAGCTCCGCGGGGAGACTGGTGTGTGGCTCTTTCGGAACGGGTGCCTCGACCTATCGAGACACGCGCTGGTGCTGCGGCGATCCACAACGCGACGCCTCCGGAGGGAGGCAGTACTCCTCTCGACAGGTGCACGAGGCGAGCATGGCCGCAAGCCGCCTCTGCGGAGCGAAGGGCTGCTGCCGCGTCTCCCGCCGCTCGCACTCCTGCCAAAGCGCTTTTTCCGACTGGTGCTTCGTCGAATCGAGGAGCCTCCACGGCTCCTGCTCTGCCTCGCAGGAGAAGCGCTCGGCCCCAGGGGGCGTCGGTTGTCGCGCCGCGTGTAGCTCCTCCTCCCGAGAGGTGGAAGACTCCTGCTGCCGCTCCTCTTAGCCAGACTCCTGCTGCCGCTCCTCCTAGCCAGACTCCTGCTGCCGCTCCTCCTAGCCAGACTCCTGCTGCCGCTCCTCTTAGCCAGACTCCTGCTGCCGCTCCTCCTAGCCAGACTCCTGCTGCCGCTCCTCTTAGCCAGACTCCTGCTGCCGCTCCTCTTAGCCAGACTCCTGCTGCCGCTCCTCCTAGCCAGACTCCTGCTGCCGCTCCTCCTAGCCAGACTCCTGCTGTGCGGGCGAGGACCCTTGCTGAAACGTGGCAAGCTCCCGCTGCCTTTTCGACTCCTGCTGCGTCGAGGAGGAGAGCTGCGAGCTCCTGCCCCCGAAGAGGGACTGCGTGGAGGCCGCTCGAGAGCGTGCCGCCAACTCCCGCTGTCGCTGCGCCTCTCTTTTGGGGAGTGACTGCCCCTTTCTCGCCTCGGAGTTGGAGCTCGCCGCTTCGAGCCGAGAGACGCCTTCCACCCCTCGGAAGTCGGGCGCTGCTGAGACGACGCTCCGCTTGGCTTTCGCCTCTTTGGCGAATCGCCGCGCGAAGGAGGTGACCCTCTGCCAGAGCGTCCCTTCAGGCCTGCACTAAAGCCTCTGCCGTTCTGCTCCCTGCCACCCTTCCCGGAGCCGCTCCTGCCGCGACGCTGCGGAGTGCGGCTGCTGCTGCTCTTTCCCCGAGGACTGGCCTCGCGCCTCGGCGCAGCACTCGCGCTGCGTCTGCCGCGCGAGCTCCCACGAGACTCCGCCCCCGCCGACAAGGAGGCCTCCCTAGGGGCCCCCCCTCGAGGAGGCGACTGTACTGGCCGATCTCCGCTGCAGCGGCGCTGCTCTACGCATTCCCCCCCCCCCGGCTTCCGGCACGCAGCTTCGCCTCGACGCCATCGGCGAGAAGGGCCCTCCCCAGGACTGTAGCTGCCCCTGCCGTCATACGCTGGCTTGCGCGAGAGCCAAGCTGCCCCTCCCCACCTATCTCTGCCCCGGGGATTGCTGGCACTGCGACTGCCGTAACGGCTCCCACGCCTCCACTCCTCTCGGCCGTAGTCTCTGCGTCTCTTCGGAGAAAAAGGCCGCCTTGGGGGGCCCTCTGTGAGAACTACACGAATGCGCCGACCGGAGTACAACGTGCCGTCTAAGGACGCTACGGCAGCCCTGGCGGCTCTGCAGCAAAAGGCGCAAGAGAGGTCGATTCACATGCCTCTATCGTCTTCTTCTCGGTAGAAGACTCCGCAATCCACGCAAACAAAAATGCAGAGGATCCGCATCACCAGCACAAACAGACGTACGAATACGTACATACATGTACATATATTTATGTACAGACATGCATGCATATAGATGTATAGACGCTCGCAGTCACACACTTGCACGCAAAAAGAGCGATCCCCTACCCCCCTGCGTTGGCTGCCATGGGGATGCTGCGGGAAGCGACAAACTAAGCTCAAATAAGGGTGACTACAACGCCGCATCACCTGGCATCACAGAACTCGGCAGTCGCCTCCGTTGAAGAACGCAGCCTGTCCAAGCTTGGCAAGGCGGCCAGTCTCCCAAACTAAGAAAGAGCAGCATCAGCACACAGCATGCAAAGCAGAACACATGCGGGCTAGACCGTGGACGGTTGCACTGCGGGAAATCCTAGATACAGCACGGGAAAGCCGGTGGGCTCCAAAAACACACACACTACCTACGGCTGCGTCAGTGCACTACAAGAGGAGATGTAAGCCGACAGGCAAGTGAGTGGGCAGCCAGGCACCTGCCCCTTGAGGGCGTTCTCAATAAGCGAGGCAGCGCAGTTCCGCTGCCTCAGGTTCCCGCGCATGCCTCAACGACGAAGCGCAGGTGGGTGGTGCTGCTTAAGACAGGGGGGCCAAAGAAAGACAAGAGGGGCCCCCCGCCCCCCTTGTCATGGCAAGTAAGAGCAAGCAGACAAGCAACGCACGAGCAAGGGCAGCCGTGGTGCATATGCGCTCATAATGCCCACCTCGTCAAGAAGACGCTCGGCCTCTTTAAAAGTGACATCTCTTGGAAGGTTTGTGACGGAGACAAAGCAAGAATTCCTCCGGCTGCCCCTGTCCTCCCAGGAGGGACTGCGGGAGCGCAGCCGCCTCCTCGGAGGAGAAGCCGAAAGAGATGACATCGGGTTACGCTTTCAGATTTACAGAGAAAAGCCTTGTTTCTCCCTGAAGGGAACCGCGCGGCAGCGCACTGCAAGGGGCACGCAAAATACGGAGGCCCCTCCCCTCCTTTCCCCTGTATGTGAACCTCCGTATACAGCCTCTGATTGTGCGCCCTCAACACAAAAGCCGGCGAGATTCGAAAACAGAGTCAAGATACAGGGCAGCGAAGGGGAACGGGGGCAGCCCGTGAAAGAAAGAACTGGAACGGTACGAACGACAGACTGCAGCAGCGGCGCATGCATGCAGCAGTGTTGTTGGTCTTGCTGTGTGGGGCAAAGGCCTACGCCGCCTCGTTGCAACTATAAAAGCCTGTGTCACGAGTTCCTAAGCAGCACAAAGACTATGAAAAAACGCTTTATCTGCGGAGGACAGTGCACCTAGGGGCTTCCACGAAGCGTGGGCTGCAAGGATTTCATTTCCATTTTTCTGCTACAGCTACTGACCCATACACGGACAGCCTTCAGCAAGGAGGCGTAAACAAGGTGCTAATACACGCATTATAAAGCTAGGTTGATTAATGCTAGGCTGCAAGGAGGGCTGAGACGCAGTGGCCACTACCAGACGCTCGCGTGAGCGCCGCACTTTGAGCTTTGGAGGTTAGGCGCGAGTAAAAACCTCGTCTTCGATACATTCTACTGCTCTAGACATATCCATATCGAAATCCGCGGGAACTTGACTGCTTGGCGTGGCTATTTCTGCTCGCTATGTGGTGAAGGGCACAGCGACTAGCGGCTTAAGACGATCTGAACCCATGTACACGGCTTCGCTGCACTTGGGCACTTTCCACTGCCCCAGTCCCATTTAGTTCAATTGATGGCTAAGAATCGATATTTTTAGCTTACTCTTGACACATCGAGTGCAGACTCGTGTCGAGTCAATATGGATACTATCAATTGTTGCCTGTGCGCTGAATGCTTTGCCCAACCAGCTCTGAATAATAAAGTACTTGAGGGGTGCAGCAACGCAAACTCTAGCTGTGCCTCGCCTCTCGCATCGCAAATCCTGAGGGGCGCCTTTAGGAGCGTAGGGGAGTTTGGGGAAATTTGTGGCTGAATAGAATACAAACTTTATGGGTGATTGAGTGTCTTCGCCGGGAAATCCAAGATGCAACGCTACAGTTGATAGCACCGGGTTGTTCGGTGCAAGCATTCCCCGATTACTTACTGGCTGTCAATGCAGTGAGATGTCAGGTTTCCTTACGAAAGATGTTTGGTCTCCACCATGGAACATGGTACTTCGATCATTTGACTGGCCCTTGCAACATGCTGGGGTTAAAGCCCTGTGGCGATGGAAGTTGACGGTGGCGCAACCTGTGCTGGGACGAGAGACCGGCTGGAAAGCTGAAGCAAACGCAGGGGCTTTACAGCCGGTAGAAAAGCATAATCGATCTGACAATAAAGTGTTCGACGATGCGTCGATAAGGCTATGCCCACCGGATAAATATGATGGCCGTAAAAAAGGCCAAGGACTGAAGGATTTACAAGCCGGTTGGATTTGTACCACGACGTGCACCCTCTATGCTGTTAAAGCTGGAACGAGTGCTCTGACCGCGATGCCTAATGGATGAAGAGTTACATCTTTCCAGGAAGGCATCCACCTGCAGACAATACTAAAATTCACGCCTTCGTACTATCATTGACTCATCCATCGGCGCAAACTCAGCTCAACACCAAGATTTAGAGGAACTGGCAAAGCTGAATGAGATAAATTTATCAGTAGCTGAGTATATGGAGAAATATGAGACTGTGGTTCGCAAAAGCAGCTGTGTACACGAGCCGTTGCATTTTTAGTAACTTATGCGGGGTCTATTCGACGTCAGGTGGTCGCGCGGTGTGTAGTGACTCAGCGACCAATCAAACGGCCTGTGGGAATTCCGCAAATGAAAGACTACACAAGGTTTCAGGAGTAAATGAGCGCAAACCCTGAGTCTTCAGCAAGTCTCTAAGGGCCAGATCAAGATCTAGGGCATATGGATAGTAACACGTCGTCAAATGGCCCTAGGCGAGAGTCAAAGGCAGATAAGAGAAAACCAGAGGAAACCCACGCTCCTAGGCAGGGCCAGAGAGCCCCGAACAAACGCATCTGCTTCTATTGTGAGAGATTGCATAATATACTCCTTGACTGCAAAGGTATGCAGAACGCTAAAGAGGATGGCCCTGTTTCAGCTTAAGCAGTCTGCGTGGTGAACAACGAGGGCACATAAGTTAACGGGAGGCCTCCCGTGCAGGGTGCAGCGCAGTGCTGGGAGCTGGGGTGGACCGAGAAGCAGTTGGGGACCAACCATGATCAATCCTGCTATGGAAAAGGTGCGCATTACTGACCAAAATTTTCTGGCATTACTTGGAGCTGGATGTGAAGTGAATCTATTTTCCGAGGAGAGGGCGCAGACATACGATGCTCTTTTTGCACGTTGGAGCAGTTCCTATCACTCAGGAGGCCAGAGTGAAGAACTTGGCAAGATTGCAGCAGTCACATGTCATTTCGGAGCAAACGCCTGTCATATGAGCATGATACGTGAGTTTTTTGTTGGATCCGTGCACCATGATGCCAGCGTAGGTATGCTATGGGTGACTCAATGGAAGGCGCGCATGCATTCGCAGCTGCGCACTGTGAAGATTAGCGAGCAGAAAAATGCTAGGAAGGAGGAACTTGCGGCCTCCTCAGAGACACTTGATTCCTCTATGGCATGCGAGGTAGAGTCGCTACCTCTACAAGGTGGGTTAGGCAGAGTCTCGATGCGTGCGGATCAGCAGTGCAGTAAATGGCACTTCTAAGCATATATTTCATCCTAATAACTCTGCAACTGGTCTTTCGTCCAAACCTTTCTTTCACCCTTTAGCTGATAAACAGCGGAAACGGGCAAGAATTTAGGGGGAGTTGGCAAGTGTGCTAAATAATGACTAGCTGCCAACAAGCTGGCCACATGGTGGTCGCATACCGCACCAGGTTGGCCCCAAGCTGTGTTTCGCGGTACCAAAAACCTCCACGGCATCACAAGATACTTGAGTGGCATGCATACCAATTTTCGAAGGAAACGATGCAGAGATCAAATAACGCTTTTGAGCGAAACCCGATATTGGTGCAGAAAAAGAAGCAAGGTGGCGCATATGTGTTCACTTCAAGTCTCTGAACAAGAGCACTATAGAGGAACGCACAATGCAATTTGTTGGCAAATTACTCACTAAAGAACACCAGTCAGCCCTCTACTCGACATGCGACTTCACAGAGGAGTTCATACAAATCCCCACTCACCTTGACACGGGCGCAGTGATGTTCTACACCTCTACTGGGAAAGTCTAGTATGCATATATGCCTTTTGAGCTTGTTAATGCCATAGCTGAGATAAAGCGGCAAGTTAATCGAAAACTTGATGAACCCATAACGGGGGAGCAGATGGGTATCTAGATGGACGACTTCTTAGTCTTCTGCCGGAATTCTGAGCATTTACAACCCCTGCGCCGTGCGTTTCAAATGTTGTGGGTAAGGAATGGTATGTGAAGGCAAGAGGATATATATTTTCATGAAAACAGATATCTATTGAGGATTCCTTGTTTCTGCTGCAGTGCATCAGCCAGATATGGCATATGTTGGAGGATCAAGTAGGGACCAATATCCTTTATGCGCCCGAAAAAAATTGAGAAGCTCTACCATTTGTAGGCTTGCTTGGATCTTGGCTTAGCTGGCTGATACCCTCACAAAAAAAGTCAATGACATGAACAGCGGGGGCCAATGCCATAGCAAGGACGCTTAGAGGCCGCTCTACCACTCATCTGGTACTACACTGGGCGATGATGGCCGCCATTTCTTCCTAGTGACGTAGCAGTGGGAGCTGTTTACTCCTAAAGAGCAACACGTTTTTCAAAAAAATAAGTCCGTTTTTGTTATTCTCATCGGGTTATTCAAATTGAGCCGCGGTGTCTGGTGCGGGGAACGAACTCGTAGGGTGTGGCGTTATTTTACTCTCCAGACTTATTATCAGCCTGCAATGTATCTTATAAAGAGCTTCCGGGTGACCCTAGAGTTGTGTGCTGGTTTGGTCGCCTCCTGCAGTACCACTTTATGATAGAGTGTATTCAGGGCAATATCGACGTGGTCGCCGACAAGCTCTCACGATGCCCCATCAATATAGTTTTGTACAGCGCAACCGCTCGCGTCTGTCATTATTCACTGTTTAAGTGAAATTCGTGAGCGTTATCCTTTTACACGCACGCATCCGCAACTGTTGCCAAAATCCAAAATGGCAAAGCGATGAAGCACAATCTAGTTAATATCGACCTGGTGTGCTTCAAACAAAGTGAGGACTTCGTTGCTTGTACATTCCGACTTCGCTCTGCAGTGCTGTTTTGTGCAAAGCATAGGAACATGTTTTTATGGGCAATGATGAGGATTACACTGCAGTAAAAGAGCTCTCACGCTCCTTCTGGGGGCCTGCGATGCATTCTACGGCAAAAGGATATGCGAATGTAGGAGTTAAGGCCACGCAAGACAAGCATGCAATTAAAAAAGGGACATTCCGCTAGTTAGCTTGCCTGAAGAGTTAATTCTGGTGGGCCAGGAAGCATCACAAGGTGCGTCAGAAGGTGGACCATCAGCTATCTATCAATTTCCCCGAAAGTAAGAGCAGCATCTACGAAATGGATGATTCCCTAAAAGTTTGAAGCTTCACAAATTATTTGGCGACTTCGCCGCGCATGCAAGCAAATTCATAAAGGCGGATGATGCACAGGAAGCCCTAAAAGTGCTGGATTCTATTACTGTTGAAGTGCTGGGTCACAGTATACGGAAGTTTCTAATTACTTGGGGCGGGTAGCATTAAGTTCAGTAGTTGACGCATTGGTAGCTGCTAATTTGCTGCCTACGAAATAATTTATCGCTCTGCTTGGATAAAATGTGCTAATCGCTACAAACGGCACCCCCCGCATCCTTTTTGTGATTATCCTTATCCCGCGTAAGCTCTGTCTGAAATACTCACTTTCGTCAATGTGTATTTCTTCCAATCTGCTAAGCTTTTATTGTTAAGTTGCTTTACTCGGAATTTTTCGCAAAGACTTTTAGTCACCTGGTCACAGCTTTCTTGTTTATGCTCCTTTGGGACTTATTTTATCGACCAGGCTGCATGTGACAGGCACATTCGAATGCAGATACTGCGCTATAAGGCATGCAGGCACGGCTGATGTACCGCGTACCTTGAGTTTCTTTACCTATTTTTGCTGCATTCTGTGTTCGCGTCGCAGGAGGCCCACATGCGTTAGCGGTGCGACGGCAGCGAGCGATTGCGCCCGCCGCGGTCGTTTTGATTTAGTCCCTCGTTCGCTATTCGCTAGTGTGTGCCTTGCTTCCTTCGATTACTTTTTCCAAGTTCATGCCCGCTTTCCTCCTATGATCCACACTGCTTTCGCGTTTGTACCTGCCTGGGATATGGCGACAGTCCAGGAACTCTTCCGCTGTCCTGCAGGCAGACGTCGTTACACCCAGGTGCAAAGCACGAGTGCGCATGTTTTGAAACCCCCATGATGAAGATGTAGCGAACTAAGCTAAACTTACTCATATCCTTTACACTAGCTGTACTTAATTAAGTAGTGAATACTCGGCCTGTTGGTGTGTGTTGGAATTATATCTTATTTATTGCCGAATAGAGCCAGCTCGACATGAGAGGATATCAATGATGTGTGCGTGTGCGGTGGATGCGATATGCAAGTAGCTTTAAATATTTGGAGTATTGAGAGGGTCCAGCTGCTATCACCCTGGACGTCCCTCTCCCCTTATGTCAATTTTGTGAAAATTGAAGGTGGCAGGCAAGAAAAGGTAGCAGCTCTTTTTGAGAATTACTCAACAGCCTATTAGATTCGTATTGAGTCTGGAGCTGTTGCCTACCTACGGAGACCTTAAATGGAGCAGTACAAGAGCAAATGGGGGTAGAATTAAGGTACTTCTTAGGCTGCAGAAGCACATTTAAAAAATTTTTGAAGAGTCTTACAGTATTTTGATTTGCTTACTTGGGGTTATTTAAGTGAGCTCCTAGCATTTCTTCAAGGCATGCTGTTTGTTTAACTTCAGCATAAACCGATAAGTCAGGGCTTGCATAAAGCTCAAGTGTATCCTAATCTCTGTAGATATACACAGCCTCTTCTAGGTCGAAAAGGCCAGCATTGATTGCTTCTACCTCCGATAACACATGCCGCAAGGAGCAAGCTTTTCTCTTCACCTGGCGGTCAGGAAGCAAGGTATTTCTCCAACCGAATGACAAAGTCTTCAAGTCCTTGCCCAGCCTTTCATGGTCGGCAAAGCCGCGTCACTGTATGCACTAAAAGCTTATCGGTTGACAACTCATGCCTTTATTCCAGCTCTTCAGTTACAGGGTTCACACTGACTTGCTGGCCGACCTCTGCCTCCCCAATGAGCGTTGCCCCTTTATTAAGTTTATCACCAACTAGGTTTTCGCCTCCCGTCATGCTGCCAAGGAAAGTCAAATGATCAAGCCACCACATGAAATGATCGAAGCCGGATGCCTGGCCTAGGAACACGTGACATTTTGCTGCCTTCACAGCCCATAGACGGGCGGTGAAGCAGCAGCATCGAACCACGCAATGCCACGAAATGGAACGCTCCAGCTAAGGTCGTAGCAGAACGGTCCTTAACTCCAGACTACTTACAAGCGTAGTAAGATGTTGTTAGGCGTTCTTTGAGACTTGTTTTCCTCTTCCCTCTCTTCCCGTCAGGGTTTCCGAAATGAGGGCAAAAGGCAAGCCGATAGCTACAACACTTTGGCTCACTCGCTACGCACTCGGAGCTTTTACAGCACATTGTCCTAAAGACTTGGAGCACACGGCCGCAACATTGAGTGATACCCCATTGCGCAAGCGCTAATCTGCAATATAAAAATTATATGCGTATAAAAGCAAAATATTTAATTATCTACTAATTCGTTCAAGCTAATACGGAGGGTGAGAGAAGCTCTTCTACAGAAGCATTTACGAGCTTGCTGGTAGGATTTTTATTGATTTGGAATAGATCCCCATGGGCATACTAGGTAGGGGGCTAGAATGCGCGTCTAAGTGTGGCCACCCTGTACCTCTCGTAAACCTCAATACTACAAAGAGTCTTCTATATTCAGGAAGAAGTGTGCCACAACGGAGGAGGCACGCGCTCCAGTTGCGACAGCTCACAGCAACGCGCAAAGAAGACCGTTGCTTATACAGTTAGACGTACATGAAGAATGCCGTGCTAATTGTTGTAAGTATTCTGGACTTAATTCGAGTACGTGAAGTATTTGGCTGAGAGGCAAGTATGTACTGATCCACACAGGGCACCCCTCCGGTGAGCAGCCAGAATTAACGCTGCCAGCCGACAAGACCAAAGGACTCTTTAACGAGGGTCGCTAGTCAGTTTGCCCTGAATTTACACTCTTCACAGCTGCTTAGAGAAGCATGTAGTGGCCATGCGGTTCCCGCTGCCTCACATGGAGCAAGCGGGCCTGATGTCCTCGAGCATTTCCTGTGGTGCTGCTCGTGCTTCTAGCCTGCCTGTCCTTCAGCCGAAAGCTTTCGCACTCCTCATAGAACAATTGGGAGCTCTAGATAGTGGCTGCCTCACATGTCTGAATGAAAATGTCTGCTGCTGCTGCCTAGTTCAATAAAATGATCCTCTATTGGCAAGAAAGGCATGCGTTGAGGCGCAGAGGCCAGTACGCCTCAAAGCGCACACGGTTGTTGCGGGGTGACGCAACAGCCTGCCGGAAGGCTCACAAGACTGCAAAACTAACCAAAGTCCTCCTGTTTAAAAACTCTCAGCGGAGAGCTCGCTTGAGATTTCCCCAACGTTGATGTAAGGAGTTGAAAGATTACTAACTCCAGGGCCCGTCAGCGCAGCAGACCCTCCGACGAAGGGCTCGGCCAGGCGGGCACTATTGATTCACTGCAGAACCGGCAGTGCGGAGTTTTGGACACACCGGCATCAGATGTGCCCTGTTGGTGAGAGAGAGGGAGAGCATAGCTTCAGACTGCAGACTCTGATTTACGAGGAACGAGTCAATCTGCAGAGCGAAGCCGGCAGGAACCCACAGTGTACACACCGCGACATTGGGCTCTATAAACTTCTGATTTAGGCGAACTCCAAGTCTCGCAGCTGCTCCTTAATTGCCTTCAACTCCGCCCCAAGGCCCTCCCGCCTTTCCTTCTCAGCCTCAGTTAGGCCTCGCCTGACAAATGCCCCAATGCAAAGCCACAGCAGCACACCCAATAAGGCTCCGCACGCTTAACGGGGCGACTGGAGAGGTCCTGGGCCATTTCCCCCAAAACATATACCCACAGCAGCGGGGTTACTGGCCAGAGCTTCCGCTATGTATCCATGCACGAACACACGTGGTACATACGAGAACACTGCACTCGAATATATTTCACATGCGAAGGTGTAGGCGTCCATACAGATGCGCAGAGTGTGACAGGTTTCCATGAATGCTGCACTACATACGCATGAGCGCGCATGCGTAAAACTATCGTCAAGCATGTGTCTCCGTTAGAGAGCATATATGTGCGTACAAATACCGGGTTACATACAACAAAATATTCACCTGTACATGCCTAAACTGAAAACACAAATATATATATTTATTCACAACCATCAATGGGTATATACCGCTGTTTATATAATTGCATAGAGTGAACTAGCGAAATAGCGCAGTCTTTGTGCGCTTTGTCCTGGATGGGCTTAGGGAGCAACGGTGGTGCATGAGACTTCTAATCAAAAGGCTGGGCGTTTGAGTTGCTCTACCGCGTATTTGCAATATCCTGAGCTATACCGGCCCCCAAGATCCTTCGTCAATGCTGCAAACTGTTCGGGTACCCTCGTGGGAATGCATAAAATCAACTTGCCTAGAGCCAAGGGCCTGCAGGTCGCTGAGGGTCCTCTTAACAACCTCTAGGCGCAGCTCGAGCGCTTCTCGAGCCTCTTTCCGGCTACCTTCGACACCCAGTTGCTCTGTAGATTCCGAAGATTCCTGCTGTTGCACTTCCTTCCATGGCTGTTGCTGCGGGAGAGGGGGGGCTAGCGGCTGCGGGAAGCTTTCCATTCTGGGTACTGTCCACGCAGTAGGCCTCTGCGGGTCAAAGCAGAGTTCAACGCAATCGAGCCATTGAGCATCAAACGAACTGCTCACTAAAAAGTGTTTTACATGCATCTCGAAGTGCCGCAGGCTAAAAAAGATGAACGGAATGGTCCGCGGAAGAGAGAACACAACTGACTGCTCGCTCGTTCGCTTCTTTTAGGAGCCGTAAGACCCGTTCTTGAGGGTTCTCCCCAGGTAGCAACACGGGTGTAGAAACATCGGAGTCCCCTTTCTGTGTATTGGGCGCATCGGTTACTTCAGCTTCTGCCCCGGCATTTTGCATCTCCTGCTGCTCGTCTGTCCCTCCACGTGGTTGCTCCTCTTGAGGTTGCTGCCTTCGAGCAGCAGCTTCTTCTGGATGGGCTTCTTCGTGCAGCACAAGTGCCTCGATAAGCTCTCCCACCTCCTGCGAAAAGGCAGATAAAGCTTCTCCTGAATCGTGTACAGGCATTGCAGAGGATGATATTCTCAAGGCACGTGAGGAGGAGCAGGACTCTGTAGCTCTAGGAGAGAGAGGTGACGGCACTCTCTCCCGCGTAAGTCTTTGCGCAGTTTCGTGTGCTGCAGATAGACGCCAAAGAGAGTTAGGGAGGATACACCGAGAATAGCGCTTTTTAAAGCTTATTGGTGGCGTCAAGCAGCGCTGCACCTGTAGAGAGCAACCGGAAGTCCTGCGTTCCTCCTGAAAGAAACAGAAGAGCGCAAGAAAGGGGGCACAACAGCGCGGTTTCAGCATGGGCTCAGGAGAACAAGAGAGCACCAAGAAAACAAGGCCACAACAGTATGAGTGCTATTCGTCATGCAGTTATGGCGGACGGCTGTTACGCAGTAGTTGGTGTAAGGGTTGGAGCAAACGGCTGTTAATGTTGCAGCTCTGCCCCAGCAACCCGTGGGTGCCTGTCTGTGTCACAGAAGCTTTTGGTGCCCTGCTGACAACACGTCTACCGACATTGTGAATGTGTGTGAGTGTTCGTTGGTATACTTCTGAGAAGAAGCAGCAGGGGGGAGTTTAGTGCAGAGACAGTGGAACCAAATAGGCCTTTCTAGTACGGGGATTGCAGCACCAAGCACACGAACGAAGGCCGTCGCGTTTAAGTAGTACTCACAATTGCGCGTCCTGCTCCTCGTTGTATAAACTGGCCGCAGATCTTGTTCTTCGTATCGAAGCCAAGCTGAAGACAGGAAGTAGAAGGAGACGGAGGGAGGTCGGACCGCGCACCTGTGGTGTGAGGCTTTCGGGTAGGGGATAACGATGGGGGTTAGGGCTGGAGGCACCTGGGAACCTATCATCTAGGCGGCTCAGCAAGCAAGCTTGTAAGACGCGAAGACGGGAAGCACTTTATGCTTGCTTTTGCGCACACTACCCCAGTGGCGTTTACGCTCAAGGCCCTTCTTACCATTGTAGCGAGTGCTAGGGCGTCCGTTCGTCGAACGCCATTTGCTGCAAGCAACGGCAAACCCGCAAGAAGTGGGAGCTGATAACGCCTCAAGAAGGAACATGATCGGTCTGTAGGAAGCCGTTACGGAAGCTAGCGCAGCAGGTGCAGGCGCTCACGCTTATCGACATCCAGCTGAAGAAAGTACAGGGCCAGATTGTCTTGCATCTCCCGAGGTAGCCCAGTCTGCACGAAGGCACACAGGAGTAAGTATACTGCAGTGAGGGTGGCAGCTCTCATGCTGTTCGGCGACTTCGGCTTCAGAAAGATGTCAAAGCGTGAGAACGCCATAGAGCGGCTGCCGGAAGGCGAACCTGAAATCTGCTTTCCGCAACGGCACGAAGGGGGGCCTTTTCTCCTAAGGCCAGAGTCTTCAGCTTCTGGCTCATACGCCATTCGGCTTTTGCCACATTCATGTCTGAAGCAGAGTTCGCACGGGCAGAGAAGCCTACTGCTACTTTGGGAGGCGTCTGCAAAGTGGTAGGAGCAGCAGCAGCAGGGCAGAGCGTTGAGGCTGCCGTGCTTGAGGGAGAGAGCGCTTGGCCAGCCGCAGGCTTTGGAGGCTCAGAAGAAGACTGACACCCAGGAAGAAACTGAGTAGGAGACGCTGCAAGACAAAGCAGGAGCGACAAGAGTGTTGGGGAGTACCACTTTCATAGACTTCGTAAGCGAACCACGCTCCAAAGGAGCCGACAAGAACAGCAGAAATTCCTCCGGTCCATGTCCACTGCACCCGCTTCCTCCTTCCCCCCCCGCTGCTGTTGCTGCCGCCGTCCTCGATGGTGTGCAAGCACGGTTTTTTTTCGAGCTGCTCGCTTTCCTCCGTAGGCGCGTTGCTCTTGGTGGCGTCGTTTGAGGCTGAGCCACTAGGGCTGTTGCTGTTGCAGCTGTCGCTAGCGACAGCCCTTTCGCCCTGGGCAGGCTCCACGCTGCATTCTGGCCGTTTCTCCGGGGGTAGCAGTGCCGCTGTGTTCTTCATAGCGACTGCACGTCCTGAGCCTGTAGACGCCTGGGAGTGAAAGAAGGTTGCCTGGAAACGGCAAGCGCGAGGGAGCTGGCTGCGCAGCCCCCCCCTGTGGCGGAGGCTTCCGCTGCACAGCCCATGAACTCCCGCAGGGGCCTGCCTGGAGAGCCTCCCGGCAACTGCATGCATCTCCGAGTGAAGTGGAGGCCAAGGCAAGGAAGGCAGGCAGGCAGGAAGGCAGGAGGCGAGGCCCTTAGAAGTATCGATTCGACACTGTAAGCGTTCAAGAGAGCGCAAGCCTCGTTGCACGCCTCGGCAGTCTCAAGCAATGAGGCTGCTGTAGGGCTTAGACCTGAGACTGCCTTCCAGCAGCTTGGCCATGCGAATTCGAAGCCAGACGGGCTGCGCTGTATTGCGCAAGCAGCGAGGAGGCAGCAGCGACCCTCTTGGGGATTGGCAGGTGTCCTTTGGGAGCAGCGCGCAGGGGTAGCACTTGGAAGACTGCCACGGGGGAGAAAGACACCTACCTGCACTACTCGCGCAGTAGCCAGGCGGTTTGCGCATCGGCTGCTGCTGCTGCTGCTCCTGTACAGCTCCGAGACGGGAATTGCGCCTTGTTGCAGAGGAATTCGAATCGATTCAGACGGCAGTCGACCTCTTCTGCAGTCCCGCGGTTCTGGGTGCCCTCGCATCACGATTTTCGGATTTCCAGGCGGCGCTGGCTGGGGGCCCCCACAAGGGACCAGCGGGGGCCCCGAAGGCTGGTTCCCTGGATCATCCGTGGCTAAGCTAGAGAGAGAAACGCGTTTTTCCTTATGGGCAGAATTTTATTTTACGGAATTTTTTGCGTAGGCTTCCTAGTTCTGGCGGCTAGAGATTGCAGAGAAACAGTACAACCCCATCGCATCGAGACATGTCTGGGGTCGTTCTGTGTGTGTAACCCCGCAGCAGATGCAGCTTCCCTTCCGAAGGAATAGGAGCGACTAGGCCTTTGCCGTGAGCGCTCAGAAAAAGGCTCTAGGACCTCTTTGGCCTCAGGGTTCAGGAATCGGGTGAGGGGCCGAGGGCTTTGAGTGCAAGGGTTTGGGATCTACGGGTTACACGGCGTAGGATTTTCCGATTTTTTCTGTTCCTGGGGGAAGCGCATACAGACTTTGCTTCATGAGGCTTCAGGAAACTTCTCTGAGCAGAAACACCATAGAAGGACTGCCTGTTTAGGGCCCCCGTAGGGGCCCTCAAGGCCTCCCCCTCCCTCCCCGACAACCCTGCGTCTTCTTCCGCAAAACTTCCTCCCTACCTCTGAAAACGGTGTATATGGCTGCGCGAAATGGGGGGCTGTTCTGCACAGCAGCCTGAAGGGGGCCAGCCGGAGCTGCTAAGACTGCAACACGAGCAGCAACTGCTGCGTCGGCAACAGGAGGCCTTGCACCGCCTGCTGCAGCAGCAAAAGCGAGACCGCTGCGACTCGAGCGATGATGAGGAGACTCTAGCCTTCTTCCCCAGACAGCAAGAGCTTCCGCAAGCGAGTGGCAGCTTCGGGAGGGCCCCCCTTGAAGCCACAGAGCAGCGTGTCGGCCTTCAGGAGGGGATTCCCAATGCGGGGGGGGGCGCCCTTGCAAGGCTTCCCTGCGGAGAACGTTTGTTCGGCAGTGATTCAGAAGCAGCAGCAGGCTTTCAAGCAGCGCATGCAGGTCAGCAGCAGACTCCAAAGCAGCTGCAGCAGGACCAAGCCCCGAGCAGCGCCGGATGGAAGCATCGAGAGGGCATACCCGACATGCAGGGTGACCTCGCTCGCTGCAGCACATCACCTGTGGCTCTCCCTAGTCAGCCGCTGCAATCCGAACAACAGCCGCCTGAGCAAGCAATGGCAACGTGCGGTGCTTGGCGTCCTCGAGAGCAACACAAGCAACCGCAGACGGTGGGCAACCAGAAGCTGCACACGCGAGAGGAGCTGATGCAACTGCTGCAGCCCGGTACTGCGGCAGAAAGAGCACGACAGCAGCTGCAAGGCGCTGTTGGAGTTCCCGTATATGGCCTCGGCGTTTACTGCTTAAAGCTCATTGGGGGCTTTACTGTGTGCGCAGCGACAAACCACCAAATCCTGCAGCAACAGCCATTTGCTGAAAGGACGTCGTGCAACAGTAGCAGCAACAGTAGCAGCGAAAGTAGCAGCAACAGTAGCAGCAGCAGTAGCAGCTACAGAATAAGACACTCCGCCGCCAGCACGATTGGTGACTGGCAATGCAACCCTGGAGGCGTCCCTACAGTACACCTGCCTGTGCGGGGGAGGGGCCCCTTAGTACCAGAAGAATCCCTCAGGTGCGAGTGGTGCGCTCTACGTCACTTTGGATGCGCCGATGGCTCCTTGGCTTTATTAAGGGACGCCCTCTTCATTGAGGATATTGGGGGCCTCTTGTTGCATGCCAAGCGTCAGAGACTGCGTCACGCCTTTGCTCCTGCATTGGCTTTGAGCGCTTCGCACAGGCGGTGAGTGGCGCTGACTTCTTCTTCAGCGTGAAGGAGAGCGCAGGAACCCCCTGCGCTCTCCTGCGTCTTACACGTTTGCATGCACGTGTGGCCTTCCAAAGAGTTCATTTGGTCTCTCTTGAAGGTTTCATGTGCAGCTGCCCCCCTTGGAAAGCTCCATGTGTTGCGTAGAGAACGAACGGCTGTTTCGAAGTAAGGGCGCCAGCACCATCGCCCAGGGATCCTTAGGCTCACTGGCTTACTGCTGTGTATACAAGTGCTGATACTGCAGGCCTGTAGAAGCCACCACTGCTACATTGAGACGCTGCGTCCGGGAGGCGGTAGTGCAGCTACTGCCGTCTCAGAGAGCGGCTGCAGCAAGCGGCAAACCAGGCACGTCTCAGCTTCAGCGCTGCAAAGTGCACACTGTCACTTGCTGGGCAGTGGTGACTTCCTCCCTCGTGCAGGACTGCTGCTTATTTTGACCTCTTCGGCCGCCCTGCTGCTTTAACGCCTGTCTTTTTAAGAAAAGCCCTCTCCACATTTTTTCTACTGCCGGCTCTCTGATTCGTGTCGTCAACATGTTGCCATTGTGTGTGCATCTTTTGGGGTGTTTGAACGCACTGGCTGTCTGCTAAGGTGCTGCACTGCTTTCCTGCCCAGCTAACTACTCTCGCCTGCATTCGTTTGTGTTTTGTCTGTGCAGCCGTGGCTCGAAACGCCCTGGTGGCGGGTGTGACAAGGGCCTGTCTTCAGGGTGGAGTTGCGGAGAGTCCGCTGAATGAGGCCTTTCAAGTGCTTACTGCGCCTCCGTTTGAGCGGCTTTTGCGCTTGATGGGACCTAGTCTCTTTGCAAGACTCCTCAATTGCATCGTCTTCGTGACGGATAGAGATCTTGTGCGCTGGACGCTGGCCTGTTGTTCTCCAAGGTGCATTCGATCCTTCAGCAGTAGCAGCAGCAGAAGCACGACTCGCTGCGAGTGCTGCTGCGCCACTGAAGCCTGCGAGGGCCCCTGCCAGGGACTGCACACGGAGGAACGAGGCGAGTTGCAGACGACGCGTCTGGTGTACGTGCAGGTTTGTGGCCGGCCGCTTACCAATGGCGTTGTAGAGGCGCTTGCTAGAGATCACAGGGCTGCGCGAGAAGCGAGGGAACGCTTGCATTTGCTGCAGCAGTTGCACGGGCAGAAGAACGCGGCTGTTGAAGATCAACAACACGCAGACAGAAGCACCATCTGCACGCTCGACGCTGCGCTCAGTTCGTGCAGTAGCAAACGAGACAAAAGCCGTTGCCGAGCAGCGCGACGGCGGGCAGCAGCCACGCTGCGACGGCGGTGTCGGCCCCAAAGCAGGCAGCACTCGCAGCAGCAGCCACAACAAAAGGGGGGGCAGGGGGAGCGTGTGCGTCCACGTGAACTTGAGGTCCCTCGCAATGCCATCCTGTATCACCGAAGTTTCTCCAGACTTGGGGGGCTTCCTCGGAGCGCCGTAATAGCTGCTCTTTGCCGTGTGGAGCCGCGATCACGCATGGAGCCTCCCCCGACGGGCGCACGGGCGGACGTCCCCGTTGCGGGCTGCAAGGACATGGCTGCTTGCAGTGCTTCCCTCGGCTGTCTCCCTGCAGCACCGGGGCAGGCAATACCAGCTGCTGTCGAAGCCGCCGCAGCGGACCAGGGCTCTGCAGCAAGATCTTCGCAAAAGCATCGAGATTTCGCATCCTTGCGTACAGCGCTGCCTACGGAACCCCTGGGTAAGGGAATAGGACCACACATGAGAAGGAGGACTTTGCGCACAGCTGCGCGAGTTCTCGCGAAATTCGTCCTTAGTGACCCCAAGTTTTTTGCGGCCAGCAAAGGCGGCAGCGCCAGGGACCAGATGGCTCTAGCTGAAAAGCTGCAAAGAGAAGTAACGGATGCACTGGAAGCACAGCACACAGCCGACGCCTTTGAAAGCGACAGGCGCTCGCAGTTTAATGGCAACGGCAGCGGCTGCAGCAGCACAAGGTCGGCTGCTGAAAGCTGGACTGCACAACGGAGGTCAGAGAGGCGCCTGCGACTGCGCTCTACGAATGCCAGGTCAGCACCTATGCAATGCACTCATAAATCCACAGATCGTATCGTATTGAATCGTACAAGCTAAGCAGGACCTCGTAGGCTTTGTACACTTGTTTTCCGTGGGAGGGGCATCGAGGTTTTGTATCCATACATTCCTGAAAGGCACATGCCTCAAACGTCGTGAGCTAGCCTTTCGTCATGCAAACATGTGTGGACGGCCGCGCAGAAAGCTGCTGCCGGGGTTTGAGGCCCTACTACGGCGGCACCAGCGGTGCCCTTACTTGCTGCTGCTGGCAAGACACTGCAGCATCCCGCAGGCGGCCCGCCGAGCCTCTGCACAGTGGAAGAAGGAGGCGCGGAGCAGCCGGAACAAGAGCTGCACCAGCGGGAGCAGCAACAGATGCCTAATCAGTGAGACCCCTGCTTTGGATTGGGCTGTTCCGACGGAGCGTGTGGCAGCTTTTGCTGTTGCCGCCGCTCAAAGAGTTGTGCCTTCGTCTTTACTCGGGTCCGCGCACAACTACCGCCTTTTTTTGCGGCGGGTACGGCAGTTCGTCTGTCTTAATTCTAAAGAGACCTTTTCCCTTCACCAGCTGATGCAGCGCATGCAGACAGGCGCCCCTAGTGGGCGGCGCAGCGCCAGAAAGCAGCAAAAACTCAACGGAGGCTCCCGGCATCCAGCTGGTCCCAACAGCAGCGGCCTTAGCGTGCTGCAACAACAGACCCGGAGAAAGAACCGCATGGAACAACAAGAGAGAAAAAACCACTTGCAAAGAATTTTGTTCCTTCTATTTTGCCACTTCATTGTCCCTCTCCTGAGGTCAGTTCCGCGAGTGTCTATTTGAACAGGCTCTGGTGAACCCATAGCCACATCCCGGATGGCGCTCTTTCGTGTGTCACTGCTGCTTCCTTACACAAAAAGCAGCACCCTCACCGAATCTCATCAGGCACTTCGCTTGCGGGTTGCTTCGGACCGGCCCACGAGATCTCAATAGATTCTCCTACCGGCCCTTTTTGCATACCCGAGAACAGCCAGAGCGCGCCCGTTTGGTGCAGATTTACTTCCCCAACTCAGCTGTTCTCGATGCTTTTGGCCTCTCACATTGCCTGCTTCTCTACCTGTGGCTGCATTGTGCTTCAGAAACCATTTTTATGTCACCGAAGCCGAATCCTCTCAAAGGCGCTCGCGATACTTTAGGAAAGGTGTTTGGTTTGTCATTGAGCGCGCGGCCTCCGCACGGCTGTACGCTGAATGCTTCAGGCCAAGACAAAACGCTGCGCAGCTGCCCAAAAGCCCCTCTACTATGACTGTTGCTGGAGAAGGTTCTAAATTGGAGGCTTCTGCAGCAGACAAGTCGGCTCAGGCTGCACCGAAAGTTACAACCGAACCTCTGCGTTGTAAACGCCTGGCCTGTGCTGCTACCATCAGTAATTCTGGGAGCGTCAAGAGGCCTCGACATTTAAAGCCGCTCAGCATGCAGAACGGCGATTCCAAAATTATTCGCCCCTACTGCAGAAGCATGTGTAGCTGCAATTCTAGCAGCGAAAGTTGCAAACGGAGTGATTGTTGCAGCAGCGCCTGCAGCAGCATGAATTGTATACAGCGGAAACGCGAGGACGAAAAACCCTGCTGCAGAATGCTACGAGCCAATTTTCTTACTGCGGCTGTATCTGCAGCGCTTGCTGCCCCACTTGCAGTGACTGGTGCAAATTCAGCAAAAGCAGTCCTACCCTCATCTCTAGCTGCATCAGCTGTTCCCCGCATTCGTTTCTTGCCAAAGCTCCGCGGCTGCCGCCCTCTCGTCAATCTGTCAAGAGGGCCCAGTGGTGCGCTCTTGGCGCGTTTGCTGCTGGCGGTGCAACAGCAGTGTGTGGCTCATCCGCAGCTGCAGCATCAACAGGCCGCCTGCCCAAACGCCTTTCCACCTCTGGCGCCGCCCCCTTCGAGGGAGCAGTTGCCCGCAGCAGCTACAACCGTAGGACTGGACGCTGCCTCGCTTAACGGCGTTCGTCCTCCCTCCACCTATGGCCAGTACCTCCGCACTTTGCTGCAGGAAGGAGACTCTAGCAGGCGGGGGCACTGGGGCCCTGCAAGCCCTCATCGTGAACGGTGCAATTCCCTCTCGGTAAATTCTGTGCTTCGACCTGTGTGCCAGCACCTATCAGCCCTTTGCCGTTTCTACCCGGAGTCCCTGGGCTGCTCTGTCATGTCCAACTCCCAGGTGTATATACAGCTCCTCAAGTGGTGGCGGCGGTACCAGCGACAATGCGGGCGCCTGCGGCGCCTGCTCCAGCGGGAGGGTCCGCGACACGGCATCCGTCGAGTGTACATACACCGCATGCAGCGCGTGGTTGGAGACATGAGTCGGTGCTTCGAGAGTATTTCTCATGAAGAGCTGCAGTCTCTTGTATTGAGAATGCCGCTTCCACCATTCGTCCACCGCCTTCAGGTGTACAGACGCGTTACCACTCCTGGGGCCCTCTACTCTGTCGCATCCAAGGCGGAGGGCTCGGCATTCTCCTCCTACCGGAGAGCAGCTGCAACAGGCGCATCAGTCGACTCTACACCTGCTCCTTCTAATAATGCAGATTCAGAACGAGCAGGACTGTTACCCAATTCCGCCCCTGGATGCCCTGCAGCCGTACACCCAAGAGCACCGTGTAGGCCTTCTCCATTGTCTACCCGCATAGGAACCTCGACGTTTGGGGTTCTTGATGAATTCTGCGTCCCCCCTATGCCTTCAGGCCACCCTCCGTGCCTCTCAGCGCTCCTAAGGGGTATTAGGCGCAACTCAAACAGGTCCTCAAAGCTTTCAGCCATCAACGCGGCAGTAGCAGGCACTGCAGCTCGTATCGGCAGCAGGAATGCAGCTCCATCACGGGCAAACGAAGGAGGTGCGGCAAAGCCATGGCCCCCACTGCTGCCCCCAACACAGGCTGGCCAGCTTTCGAAGACCGAGGGTTTCGCTTCCTTCCAGCACCAGGAACCAGCAGTGGGATTGTCGCTGGCTGCTGTCACAACAGGCGTTGCTGCAGTGACAACATCAGTGGCAGGAAGAGCAGCAGCGCTGCCTCTTCATTCGGAAGCAATCCACAGAGGAAAGCGTCAAAAGCTTTCTAAAGTGCCTGAAATCACCTGCAAATCAAACGTCGCTCTAGAGCCGCTGCTGAGCGGTAATGGTTTATCCGCCTCCCTTTGCGTGCGGCGCTTGCTGCTCCGTGGGACCTCCTCAGGCGGCTGCTCCTTTGTAGCACCCCAATGTATCGACACACGAGTGACAGCAGAGGATGTGCGAGCAGCCTTGTTACTGTTGCTGCGCATGCATTGGGTTTTGCTGCCTCGAAGCCTCCCTCCGCCTTCTCCTCTGGGACCGGATCCTCTGCCTACCGCCTCGCCGCTATCTCAGCTATTCAGGGTGCGTAGTGGAGTTTATAGACAGCTTCAGGGAATCCCCCAAGGCTCTAACCTGTCAGGACTTCTCTGTGCGCTGTTTTACGGAGACAGAGACGCACACCCAGAAGTCCAACGTCTCCTAAAAGGTCAATCGGGTGGCCGTGCTGTGTGCCGCCAGCTCAGCAGAAGCCGTGAGTGCTTCACTCGAGCGTCTCTTCATCCGGCGGTGCAGAAACATGTACCGGGGAAATTGCAGGGGCCACAGAAGGAAACATTCCCAGCTCTAGAGGGTTTTGAACTTTTCTGGGAGGCCCCAAATCTTTCTATTTGCGGGCCTACCCCTCCCAGCAGCTTCATTTCCTGCGATCCGCTTCTGTTTGAGGTATCACAAAGCTGTGCTGCGCCGAGGCAGCGAAGGTCGGGCAAAGTCGAACGGACGGCAAACCAGAGCCCTTGTGCTGCAACGAAGCAGGAGCAACGGCACAAAGCGGAAGATGAAGGAATTGAGAGCAAGTCAGCAGTCGGTCCGTCTGCCGCTACTCCTGCTGGCCCAGCCACAACAGCAGATCTCTCGCTGCAGGTGCTAAGAAAAGGCGCGCACCGTGCACGCCACCGTGTGCTGATGAGGCGGCTCCGGCAAATACTGCTACCGCCATTGTTGCTCCGGTGGGTGGACGATTTTGTGTTTGCTTCCCCGGGTGTCTCGGCAGCACGGCATTTCGTGCGGCTTCTCACACAGAAGCAAATGTGGGGTCCCAACGTTAACGCCGACAAACTGCAAGTTGAAATAGATGGCAGCTGGGATGCCTCGTCTTCACCCGATCTAGCAGGAGCAAGAGCTTCACCAGAAGAGCAAGCAGGAGCATCTGTTCCACCAGCAGCAACAAAAAAGGGACATGCTGGTGTAGATTTGTGCTGGGCTGGAATAGAGCTACGTATCCCCTCAGCGGGAAGCCGGTTGGAGTGCCGAGCTGCCCGTTGGAAAGACCCTGAACAGCTGACGCTTCGCGACGCTGCTGCGCTCCACCGCCGGCGCGGTTGCAGCTTTATGAGCGTAAGATTGTCCCTTTTAAAGCGTGCAAGTCGGGGCGCATAGCCGAATGTTCACTAAGTATAGGACCTTGAGCGGTCGCCAGTAGTCATCCGTTTGCTGCAAAGCCATAAAAGGCTTACAGTAGCCCGGAGGCTGTGACTTTGTGGGAGCAAGAACAGCCCTCCGACTTCTAGCAGTCGGTCACTCCTGTCTTTCTGCACAAGATCGCAGTCGTGCACGATCCGCTCCCGCTGGAGACGTTGTTCTGATGTCGGTGCCTATCTCAATTAACTTTTTTGCTTTCTCGGTTCGGCCATATGGGTCCTAAATGTAGCGTTCACCTGTGGCACCTGCATGTCTCCTAACGGCCTTTGGAAGGGGACCCTGAAGGGCCTGCGTGTCTCACTTTCATGTTCGGATGTTTATTTAGGAAATTATTTGCATGCTGTGCATGTTCTGGGGTGGGTTTGCGCAGAGTATGGTAGAGCGTCCGCTTTTTGGATTTCTGCGGGCCCGTCTTGGAACCCCTCTATTCCTAGACCTGAGGCTCAGCTCCCTGAGCTGCGTGCTTCATAACATTTACATCACTATGCGCCTCGCTTTTCAGCGGCTGGTGCTGTCAGTCCGCCGCGTAGTTAAAGAGTTCGGGGGATTTGCAAACCCTCACTACCTGCTCGGTAAGTCTAACCCTTAAGAAGATCGTGGGGTGTGTCAGGATGCAGTATTTTGATCCTTATTGTGCCCTGCTCTGGCTTGACAGATTCATGTAGCGCCTTTACTTCTATTCATGTCGCATGCCTCTACCGATGTATACCAGAGGAACCTACTGCCGTGGAAGGCGAGACTCTCTTTTCCTGCCTCTTTCACGGGCTCCTCGGCGTACTCTCTCTCCCGGCCTGAATGTAACCCAAGCTTCCTACTGTCTAGGGAATGTCTGTGCTTTCTGGGCAGGCCTCTCTAAACGACTCCTAGAATATGCGTGGCTCTTCCTGAGAGCCCACGCCCGGCCCGCGGCCGCAATATATGCCTCCCCCGATGTACGACCAACAAGTCCTGCAGGGGCATCAGCATCGGCAGGTTCACAGGGGAATGTATGCCCCCAGGAGCAGATCAGAGGAGTCTCTCCTGAGGCCCTGCGCCCTCAAAGGATCCCGCTAAAAGCGCGGACGGTGCGAGCGCAACTCAAGTGTATGGCCACCTTTGCAGCGGTACGAGTTTTTAAGCAGCGCCTAGGCTCTCGGAGCAAAGGGGTTCCCTCGAAGGAGGGCCTACGGAGTGCAGGAGGAACTGACGGAGACGCCCTTAAAGTTGCCACAACTCCTCACTCAGAGAAAAGACTGCCTTCTCATTTTCCTCTGGACAAGACCAGCAGTCCTAATATAATGTCCGGCGGAAGAGCATTCATCAACAGCAGCAAGAAAGCAGCAGCAACGAGGCAGTGCCAAGCAGCGTTCGCCCTCTGTTACACAGAACTTCTGCGACTCGTCAGAAAAGAGGTACACGCCGCCTTCAGCCGTCATCCGTCCCTCTCATCTGGCTCCCCGCCTCCCTCTTCTGCAGCTCCTGCTCCTGCTGCTGAGACAGCAGCAGTGGCAAGCTGCAGCGACACTGCCGCTGGCAGTAGTGCAGCCGATCCTGCAACCTGCGAAAGGCCCTTCGTCGGGGGCCCCTCGCACGAGGCCCCAAAACCAGCATCTTCGGGGGTAGTGTGTCCAGCCGCCGGAGCAACTGCGAGGGTCCCAGGGAGCGCACTGGTTGCTCAGCGAAGTCGGGGGCTCTTGCAGGAGCTGCGGCAAGTGGCAATAAAGGCCGAGAGCGAGGCACCGCAGGCGTGGCCTCGGTGGTCTCGTCCTCGTGTAGCTGCTTCGTCTGTTGCACGCCCCCTTTCCCGAGGGGGCACTCCCAACGGGCGAAGTCGCCGCGCCGTGTCATTTCCGTCGGGCCGAGTTAAGTAGCAGAGTCTCCGTGTCTCTGCAGCTATGTATCGACTGTACTGGCTTTCTACATTGGCCTTACCGCGGTGCACGATACACTGAGGGAAGCACTAAGAAAGAAACGGGGGTTGGGGGAAGGGGGGACTCTTCACGGACGCCCTTTCCCGAACCCCTATAGTAGCAGGCTTTCTGTCGGCCCTTTGCTGCATAGCGACCTGATGTGTGGAGCCTATAAGCCTGCCAATGTACTGCTTTTCAAAAAAGGATAAACGGGTTTACGGGGACCCCCTTCCTGGGAGGCCGCCGATTGGATGGCTGCCTTAGAGCAACCCCTCCGTGTCACCCCCGGCCGTGCGGAGATGCGGGCGGAGAAACCACCTTTGGTAGTGTAGGGGAGTCTACTGACGACCCCTTCGCTATAATCTGTTGGCAACAGTCAGTCACATGAGAAGCTATGGTGACTTCCTAGATGTAGTAGCTTGCTCCGGTCAACAAGAGACACCAGAACCCCTCCCTCCCTCCCTTAATTGATGTCGATCTCCATTTCGCATGCAGCCGCCTCCTGGAAGCAAATAGCAAAATGAAAGCAGCCACGAGAGTCCACACCCTGCGAGCCTTTCCCCTGGCACTCGGGAGGCCTACGAGCCGCAGCGCGCTCCCGCAGTACACATTCCCTGACCCCCCATTCGGTTGCTCGCCACAAAAAATAAAGGCCACAACCTACAACTTGCTGCCCCTCAGGCCTCGCTTCCCCCCTCGGCTTTAGTAAGTGGAGCCTCCCCGTTGGGAGTATCGGGAACCTTCGGGCTGGGGGGCCCCTCAACTCTTTTGCGCTTAAAATCTCTGCGGTCCATCGGTTGGCTTACTCCTCCATGAGGCGCCGGCGAGGTCTCCTCGCCGCCAACAGCAGCAGCATGTTCAGCTTTCGTCGTAGCCTGCGTGTTGAAGGCGTGCTTGGAGCTTGGCTGCAGTGCGTTTTGAGCATCGGGGGCCCCAGACGGTCCCTCATCATCCCACTCGATTTGGAAGCGCGTTACTCGTGGAGCGTCCACTACACAACGTACGAGTCGCTCATAGATTGGCGATTCTGGGGGGTTTTCTCGCAGGGCAGGATCGCTGCAGCAAGGACAACACCACATACACCGCTCGCAACTGCGCTTCCCCTCGCAAACAGAGGCTCTTGCCACTTCCGGGGTGCTCGCCTCCCGTAGACACACACACACACAAAAGCCGCAACCCCACACATCCACAATCAGCACGCAGAGGCAAAGACCTACACTACAGAAGGGGACGAAGCGGAGGCCACGTGCAAGTACTAGGGTGCTGTGTGTTGAAGAGCCCTTTCACGGCATTTAGCTCTCTCCAAAGGCCAAACTGAGCCAGAGGATGCACCTGCGAGCGACCCAGTTGGCAACACCAGAACCTCGAAGAAAGGCAGCCTTCTGGCCTCGACTGACCTGTATGCGTTGTTTAGGTAGTAGCCGATGCGGACGAACTCCTTTTCCTTGTAAAGCCCGCAAACCAGCACTGCCTGCATCCCCTCAACACTCCCAGGGTCCATCTGCAGCATATTTGAGAGGCAGAAGTCCACAAGAAAAAGCAAGGCTCTGAATAGGAGGCAGCCGCAGTCTCTGCGACCAAAGCTCTGCATGAACCACACAATGCCACCGCAGTTCTGACCTGCGTGAAATCTGGAGCGTTTACGGCGAATTCGAAGGCCAGTGCGCCCCTCTCTATGGGGCCCAAGAGCACGCTGTCCAGCACATAGTCTGCCCCTCTACTCGGAGTTTTCTTGGCACTGTTGTTGCTTGCTGAAGGGGCTGCCTGATTTCCAGCTTCCCCGTCTGCATGCATGCTGCCCTCTGTGCCATCGACGCCCCCCGCTTGCGCAGTTCCGCTGGACCCTCCGGCTGCCCCCGCTGCTGATTTGTGTTTCTGCGGATACGGCGGCGTGCTGTGGTGCTCCCCTGAGCCGACATAGACGACCCTCCATTCGACATCGTGCTTCAGGGCCTGTTGAGACTCGAAGTGGATTTCGAAGAGGAAAGGCGCATTCAGGGGACAGGGGTTGTTCAGGACGCGAATGTTGGTTACGCTGACGGCTGCCATTCTTGAAGAAGCACTCGTCCGGATGTCGCAAGCGGTGAAAGGACGGAGGGAAGGGAGGGGAGAGGAAGACGAGAGGGGCCGGGATGGTGAGTGTTGCGGGGAACAGACAACCGAGGCTCTTTCCACCGCAGCCTGGAAACACTAAGTACCAGCGAGAAGCGACGTCAAGCGCCTCGTAGAGGCCACTGGCGCTGCCGGAGGGGCTGCTTGCGTTCGCAGTGGTCGCTGCCGTACGAAAGATCCACGATTAAGGAGGCTGTTGCCCTCAATCGGTGGCGTTCCCTTGGCTAGAGAGGACAGACAGAAAAAGACAAAGCCGAGGGACCGTCACGTGGGGCCCCCACACGCCTACGGCGCTGCGTCGTGCAGCTGAAAACTAACGAGCGTGCTAAACGCCACCAGGAGAGAATATTCAGAAAATGGCAGCATCCACTGCCGGCGCACAAGACATGGCGCGCAGGAAGAGGCGACCGACCGCGAGGGAACTCCTGTCTTAGAGAAGGGAGGCCGAAGCAGGGGGCTTACTCCTGCGCAGTTGCGGTGCTCCCCTTTAGCGTTAGAGCGAGCTATAAAATAGGAAGACAGCTGGGGGGTCTTGATGGGGAAGGGGAGATGCGAGGGCAAGTTGCGGGGGAACCGGTACAAGTTGAGTCTTGGCTCTTCGCTTGGGGGTTCCCTTCCAGCTTTCACCAGCCAGGGGAGATGGCCGTCTCCCTATATTCTGCCCCACTAAGAATTAATTTACAGGAAACTTTGGACACAAAATGCTTAACTAATTTACTTCCGCGGGCGAAGAGGAGGTTAAAACACTGCCGCCAAACAACGGGGGACAGTGTGTACAGAGTGGTGTGGTTGCTGCTGCTCCTTCGCTGCTGAGCAACCAGACAGGAGTCTGTCTGCAGCAGACTGCCCTGTCTCAAGGCACAATAAGTGCATGCATCTGCTTTTACTAAAGAGCGCTCATGTCCTGAGCCTACCAGTCCGAACGAGTCAATGCAACTTTGCAGAGAAGGCTCGCCGCGTTGTAACAGCAACGGCAGCACGAGGACCAAGGCAAGACATGTCGAGAACCCTTTAACGAAAGCAGGCAACTTCTTGTGTGTTGTTTACTTATAAAGTCCAGCATTTACTCCCACATAAGGAGCTGTAGCCAATAGGATCTTCATGCGGTGCCGTAGATTTGCCCACCTTGTTGGGATTTCCCACTAAATTATCCGGGGGAAAGAGCGCAGATCCACCAGGAAGCAAGCCACTAAAGAGCGATTGCTTGGAGGCTACAAACAGCAAATATGGGGGACCATTACGTCTTCCTTGCGGCTCCACAAGGCAGAATGGGTTCGCATCAACTCTTGGGGCAATGGCAGGATTCTTTCGAGACTGTAGAGGCTAGGGGCGCGTGCACAATTCATTTACATCTCACCACCCTTTCGGTTGCCCTTGGTCAAAAAAAACCCACGAAACCTTCCAGCATGTTAAGAGGATTCAAAAATCAAATCTGCTCGTACTAGGCTTACAGCAAGATCTCAAACCCACTTTTCCAAAGCATTCTCTCCCGGATTCCTTCTTTTACCTGACAGACGTTCTTGAGTAAAATTCTCATCAAACAAAAGGCCTGTGGAGGCGCTTACAAAGCTAAGGCTACCGTTGATGTAATGCTCCATCTAAGGTTTTCGGAAGGGGACACCTCACTCCATATGTGCAGGCTGTACAAATGTTAGATACTGAGTACGTAGTACGCCACATGCCATAAATCACTAGGAATTCGTAATGCATTGACTGATTGGTCAGCTAGTATACTATTTATTGCAGAGTATTGCTAGATCAACATGAACAGACCCAAGATTGTCTGCGTGCGTGCTTAGTGTGATGCGCAACTAGCTATGAGTACTCGGAGTGCTTAGCGGGTGCAACTATGCGCAATCTAGCCGTCCGACCGCCCTCATCGGGAACTCGGAGGCGAGCCGACAGGAAAATGGGGGGACGGGTGTCTCTTTGAGAAGCAATATGTAGTTCGTGAAGTTCGTATTGTCTGGGCCAAGCCTCCCGCTACGGAGACCCTAGTTAAAGCATTACAGCTTACAACATCGCAGTGTTCGATGTAGCTGTCACCCGCTACTCCACTGCCACATAGTCTAATTATTTGGTATCTAGGTATTCCGCTATTATCTGGGAAAACGCTGAGGGAAGACCCGTCTGGCAAAGAAAGTTGCCGGTGGTACAACGCCCATTGAAAAGGCAGAGGCCGGCTTGCAAGCGAATGTGAAAATGGTTGCTCCACAGAAGGGAGGGAGCAACGATTTCGGAGACAGTACAATGTTGACTGATTCGCCAATGATACCATGCAGACCCAAAAGGTATGACGACCGTAAGGATGGACAAAGACTCGAAGAATTCATTAGGCAGTTGAAGTGGCACCTTGGTCCATTTTCCCCATATGCAGAGAAGTGAGTGTTCACGCGTCGTGTTTTTCGACGGGAGAAGCACTTCATCGGTTTGGCGGAAGTCATCTTGTCGAAGCTTCCATACACTTCAAGCCTTCATAGAAGCCTTGGCTCATCGGTTTATGTGATATCAGATCAAAAGCAAGCTCTAAGAGGATAGGAGAGGCTGGAAAAGGGGATTCTACCAGTAGATCGGTATATTTATGGAAATGAAACTGTGGTTCGCAAAAGCAACAACTTGCACAATCAACTGTCTCAGCGATGGCGAAAGTTTTCAAAAGAAACGCTATGCAACTCTCTATGAGGTACACATTTATTATGCTGAGTGTTTCCCTTCAAAAAGTTCGATGGGGAGCTACTAGTGCAACTTTCACTTTTGTGACACGGGCCCATCCTATTCTGTAACAGGCAGTATATACGCAGGGCAGAACCAATAAGTCAGTTCCTTAGTAGTTTTTACCAGGGTACGAACAAGTGCCGATGTGCTTCGTGGGTTACTAATTGGCAGAGGAAGCCAGTGGGGTCAAACACACACTCCACTTCCCTTTCGATCATTAGTTGCACGCTGGGAAAACGCCTGAAGGACAGACTCTTTATCGTTTGCTCCATGTAGCCCGCTACCCGAGCCTCCCTAATTACTATTATGTCTTCGGGCTGAAATACGTTACTTGTACACTGCCTCTAAGGTACTCTTGCGGAAAAAGTAGTCAACCCCTACAAGAAGCGGACGAGAACGGCTGATAGTTGTTTTATGGGTACGTTGCAAGAGTTGTACCGCGACCCTATGAAGTCTTAGAGTGACATCCCACTAAAAAGCTCCCAATATGCAGTAACACGAATTACACCAAAGGCACAACGGGAATAACTTCGCGTTTTACCGGTACTTCCTAATGCCATGTATTTATGGAGGTGAAGTGTCTCCTGTGCTTATCTGTCCTCCGCAGTGTTTGCATAGCCACGCACGAGATACCGCAGACGCCATAGTGTAGCGGGCCAACGTTCAACTGAATACTTTCTATTACAGCTAAATTTTACTGCGAAGTAGCGAAATATATTGAATATTTGATTTGTCTGCTCGTACTTTTCCGCAGACCACTCTTACTCGATACAAGAAGACGCAATATTTGTGCGTGCGCTCTATATGCCATGTGCAGCTAAGTGTGGATGCCTGAAGTGCATAAAGGTTGAAGCTACTAGCACACTAGAAGGCACTTCTTATCCTATCGTGTCGAGACTTGTAGGGGCACGGGCAGGTAAGTAAGGGAGCCCCTTTGAAAGGACACTTAATATTTTGATATTGAGTTGGGATCGAGTCTGGAGTCACGGTCCTCTACGGAAAGCTCTTGATGATGCGGTATAAGAGGCCAATTCGCTAGCAATCTGTAGGATTTCACTTGAGGCGGTTCAGTAGACCACACACAGCATATTGACATTAGGAGCTATTAAAACGCAACTGACACCATACCAGCGGCTGCGTCAAGCGTAGCAACAGTATAGGGAGTAGCGTCTGCAACAGCAGCTTTGCGGAAAACTTTGTCCCATCGACCACAGTTCCTTACTGCTTGTGGAACGGAAGACAGCACTTGCAACACGGGAGCTGATTACTCCAGATCGCACAGAGATTTCCTTTGCTACAGAGGTCCTCCGCTTGTGCCTTGATGAGGAAGCAACTGCTCTGCTGTAGATGCATGCCTGCACCTGTATCAGCCAGAGCAGCAACCGCGCCTATATGGCTTTGTTGGTAGGGTTACACAAAGCTCAAACATAGCAGCGGTCATCACCGAGCAGGATCGAGCATATTTTCTTAATCCTCGTCGCAAGATCCTATGGCTCGACTGACCCCCCTGGCCTAGCGCGCAGAAGTGCCTGTTAGGAGAGAGCAAGAGGCTGACGACTGGCAGTGCCCTTGTCCTCTTCCTTTTATTGTTCGAGTTAATCCATGAGTATTATTCCATTGTTAGGGTCTACAGAACGTTTAAATCTAAGTTGTCATCTTGAGCCCTTGGCGGTACTGCAGTCCGGCAAGACGAAGGGGCGGCGGCGCCACGGGCTAATTGCCTTGACCCACTTAACAAACTCATTATATCTGCCTTTTTTCATCAAATATCTGCTTCAGGAGCCTTTGAACTCATCTGGTTCGTGTTTTGTTGCTGCACCTGCCCCAGAGGCCAACTCTCGACCCCAGCCAAGGAGCTGGTGCCCGACTTGCTGCGCTATCCTTCTGTCTCGCTACTGCCTCACGCGTTTCCGAGACTACTTTTGAAGCTCAATGCATCCCTGAGGAAGCGACGCCTAGCGCAGGAACGGTTGCTGCTGCGACGGTGGCTTCCGATGACTAGAGTCTCTCTAGAGCTCGTCCGAGCGGCAGAGGAGGGCCGTCTACGGCGCTCCTCTAGGCACCACAGATCCCGCCTGTCTCTCAAGCCAACGGCGACAGCTGAGGCAGACCTTAGTGCTCCTTCTACAGGTTGCATTTGCGGCAGGAGGCGGATCGGGAGGCTGCGAGTTCTCTATGCCTCAAGGAATGGAACTCTTGTCGTTGTGGGGCCACACTGGCTG